GTTGTCAGCCGAGGTAGCAAGAAGCGCCTTTGTGTTAACTATGTGCCCCTAAACAAGATGACTGTGAACGTCGTGCAACCACTTCCACATGCGGATGACATCATGGATGACATTGCTGGGTCACAGTACTTCGCCTGCCTTGACCTAAAGTTTGCTTACTGGCAAGTTCGCGTTCGTAAGGAAGATCAGGCAAAAACTGCTTTTGTGACCCACTATGGCACCTTTATGTGGACCCGCATGCCATTTGGGCTGAAGAACGCACCTGCCACTTTCCAGCGAGCCATGCAGTCAATTTTTGCTAACCTGCAGCCCCATTGCCCAAAGTGCGGTGTGCGGGTGTACTTGGATGATGTTCTGGTTTTTGCGCCAACTTTTGACGAGTTTGCAAGGTTACTCGACGAAGTACTTGGTGCACTCCTTGCCAGTGGATTCAAAGTTTCACTTGACAAGTGTAAGTTTGCTTTGAAGTCTATCAGGTTTCTTGGATTCATTTTGAGCAGGGACGGCAAGCAGCCTGACCCTGCCAAAGTCGAAGCCATCATGAAAATCCCACAGCCTGCAAACAGCAAAGCAGTTTTGTCATGGCTCCAGACAGCAAACTTCTATCGCCGATTTGTGAAGAATTTCTCTCGGATAGCAGCACCGTTGCAGAGTCTCATACGGTCTGAGGAGTTTGCCTGGACCAGCGACTGCAATGAAGCCTTTCAGCGAATTCGCACAGCATTAACAGAGGCACCTGTACTGGGCCATTTTGATCCAGACGCCCAAACCACAGTCACAACAGATGCCTCAGGAACCGCAATTGGTGCTGTGCTCTCTCAGAAACAGTGTGGAAAAGAAACTGTGATCGAATATGCGAGTCGTGCACTCACGGCCGCAGAGAAGAAGTTGCATAGCAACGTTTGGGAGTGTATTGGTGTCCACTGGGCGGTTACGATCAAGTTCCGACACTACTTGCTCGGCAAGAAATTTTGCCTGTTGACTGACAACTGGACCGTTGCATGCTTAACAGCCAACATCAGGCCTTCACGTCGTTTTACGACCATGTTGATGGATCTTACAGAGTTCGACTTCACTGTGCAGCACCATCCAGGCCGTCAAAACGTGGTTGCTGACATGCTGTCACGATTATCTGCAGCAGTCCTCCATCAGACACAGTCTCTCGCAGCTATGCAAGCAGAAGACAAAGAGTGCCAGGACCTTCGTCGCTCTCTGTCATCTTCAGAATCGTGGGACCATGACCTTGCCATAATTGATGACATCCTGTACCATAGTGACGCGACTTCAGGTTCTCAAGCTATTGTAGTGCCAGCAAAGATGCGCCAGGCTGTCCTGGAGGTTGTTCATGACGGTGGAGGCCACATGGATGTAACCCGGACACTGACCAAAGTGAGAGAACGTTACTGGTGGCCAAACCTTACGTCTTCAGTGACCCACTACGTCACAGCATGCCAGATCTGCCAAAGCAACAACCGCCCAATATCTAAAAGTGTTGGCAAAATGGGTCTCATGCCAGTGTCGGATGTTCCTTTTGCCTTAATTGCCATTGATCACATCACAATGCCGGCTGCTTCAGGAAAGAAGTACATTTTGAATGTCATTGACTTTGCCACGCGTTTCATTGTCCCAGCGGCTGTAACTTCAACATCAGCTAAGGAAGTTATAGCACATTTACAGTCGGTGTTCTTCCGCTTTGGTTGTCCTGATGACTGCATGTCTGACCATGGAGCAGCCTTTGAATCTCACCAGTTTAAGCACTTCATGCACATGCACGGTGCTGAGATTCATTATTCAGTGGCATACCGCGCAGCCAGCAATGGTCTTGTAGAGAGAAGCAATGGGACTTTAGTCTCCGGTCTTCGTAAGCTGTGTCCAACGGACCAGACCTCCTGGGCAAGCAAACTCGAAGAAGCTGCTTTTGCCATCAACACAAGCTATAGCGCCAGCAGCTGTTTCTCTCCATTTGAACTACTGTGTGGATACGTCCCCAAGCTCCCATATCAACGCCACCGTCCCGCCACAGCCAGGACCCTACAAGACCGTCTCCTAATGCTGTCTCAGAACCGGGCCGTAGCAGCAAGTAATACCGAGGAAGCACAAGGGAAACGGAAGACAGCATATGATCAGTCCCATCGAGACCACTCCTTCCAAGTCGGCCAGTTCGTCTGGGTGCGCCGCCAAGAGCCTGTAGCAGATGGAACTGGAAAGTTGGCACCCAAATTCAAGGGAATATACCAAATCACCAACCAGAAAACACCCGTTACGTTTGTCGTTAGCCGCGTAACTGGTCAAGGTCCTCGTGATCGACTCCAAGACAGGATAGTGCACGTCTCTCAACTCAAGCACTACGTGCCACCTTATGTCGAGCCTTACATTGTGAAAACCCAAGAGTGGCCTTTGTGTGACTTATCTGGCTCTCCCAGTGTTGGAAATGAGTTATCTCAACCACCAGTTTCCCTTGGCCCTGCAGTTTTGCCTCCAGCGGTACCCTCCTCGCGACCTCACCGCCAAAAGCGCCCACCCGAGCGCTTGAAGGACTATTCTCTCTCGCAGTGAAGCCACCAAGTAGTGCTCCTTTCCTAGACCAATGGGACTTGGTCAGACAAGGAGGGGCCGGATGTGAGCGCCCGCATGCGCACTATAGCGTAGCGGCCTATCTAATCGGCAGCGCCACCTGCGGCGCCTTTACTCAGATAAACTCCAAGCCCAAGCGAGGGCCGGGGACACGTTTTATCAATCTCGCTCCCGCCTCCGGCGCGGTCGGCACGTTTTCATGTTCGAATAAAGCGCATTCTTCTCGTTCACAACGCCTCTCAGCCTTCATGCCTAGCCCGCCCAGCCCTCACATCACATTAACCGTAGTAGAAAGGGGCACATGAGTTTGGGAGCACTTCAGGGAGCAGGCAAAAGTGCCTTTTGGAGCAGGCTGGAAGCAACCAGAAAACCCCTTCTCGAGCAAGTTTGGAGCACTTAGAAAGATAATTTAGAGCAGATGTGCACTGTTTCACAGAACTTGTGAAGCAGCATTTATGCAATGCTGCATTTAGCAAACACTAAGCTAAATTGCACAGTAGCCTTACTTAGCTATGTATACATGCTCATGTTGTCTTTTTCGTTCTGCTTTATATAGTGCACCTCCCATTGGCTGCATTCATGCTAGATAGTACCATGCCTGAGTAAATAAGCTCACATACTGGAAGTTTTCTTCCAGTAAAACAAGGAAGGCATTTCGTTCTCATTTTTCTATCAAAGAACAGTGCGCCAGTCATCTGGGTTGCGAGAGCCGACAAACGCACCCAGTTACACACCCTTTACGTACCTAGTGCACGTTGAAAGGCATAGCTAGTAAACCAGCCTCTGCCATAAGCAAAGGTAAAAACATGGATCACGAGAAAAAAATGTGTAATGACCTCACTACAAAACTTAACAAAACTAATAGGCACAGGTGAAGTGCCTGAAATGCATTCTTGGATATCTTAAAATTTAATTTTGAAAAAAAATAATCCTAACCAGGAGGCTTTGTGCGCATAGCCAATTAGCAGGAGTGTGGCGAAAAAAACAAAGGCACAAAAAATGGGAGGGGACGTTTTAGAAAAGGTTCCCTTGACGAGGGTGATCGAGTAACGCTTCCACCTCATTCTTTTTTGTCTTAAATGGCCTTTAGTGCCTGCTTAGCCAGCCTCCTTAGCCGATCACAGCCTTAAAGCAAAAACCATAACTGTTTTGGTGAAACCAATAACACGATATTATAGCCATGTTTTGGGGCATGGGGATTGACTAGTCGCACTTTGCGGCTAAATTCAGGTGTTGTGGCGCAGTATAGGCACCGTCCACTGACCAGAGGGAGCTGCATTTCTTTGCACTGCCCTCTTCCAAGTTCGCTGACAGTGACCATAAGGAGCACGCAAAAAACAGACGCATGCACACGTCCTTTTCGTAGAATAGCCACAATCCACCAACGCATGCAGGGAGGGAGATGAGCGCATCAAGTTCCGTTTTGACCAACCCTGTCTCATTGTTTTCTGTTTTTTTTTATCTGATTGGCATTGCCTTCTGGCGCTGCAGTCACAGTGGAAAACTCGACTGTACAGTGCCTACGGCACTGATAAACAAGTTTTGCTCAACAAGAGTGGTTGGGCGCACGTAAACAAGCTTGGCGCGCAATTGCGCAACTGTTCCACACCTGCATTAATGACAGCTGACAAAGGAATGTAGTACATGCACCCTTCCTACATACAAGTAGCCCACTATTGGAAAACTGTGAAGTGGCACATCGGCCAAACTGGGCGATACTCAAACGCTCGTTTCATTGATCACACTGACTGCACGACTTAAAAAGCATTTAAAAGCGAGCTCATAGGTAAGGATCCATCTAAAAAAAAGAGTGCTACTTTACATATTGACACAGGAACAAGACACAAGGACAGTGTCTATCTTTGTGCATTGCTCTGTCGTTCGTGTGCAAAGTAGTGCTGTTTATTTAGATGACTTCTTGAATCAGTACTCATTTCAATTATTGCTGCACTGCAAAGAATGCAAAAGCAAGCAGCTGCTGTTAGACATGATGGTGTAGATATGACACATAAGGCATATTGATAATTTAAGGCTACACTGAAAATAATCTGTAGATCACAAACCTGGTACATGTGTGTTGCAGCGTCGTCTGTAATGCTGCATGCGTTAGAGGTTCATCAACTGGCCACTAACCTTAACATTTTTCAACATATGTTCACCCCGTGTTCTGTTTTAAGCATCGGATGATGCTTTTTCAGAGGGCGCACTGCCACACGTGTTATTTTGATGTGCTCGGTTTAAACTCACAAAGACTATTGCGCTATTCATCCTCAGTATGAATACAAACTCGCCGAACATTCTTCACTTCAAAGACTTTAAGCAATGGCTGTCAAGGCCTCTTTTTGGCGAACTGAAATTCACTGTTGCGCCCTCCTAAACACTGTATCGGGCTGCGCACACACACAAAACAATATTTGTGTTGTTACCTTCACTGTTTTCTCGAACTGGGCGGCGGTCACAAGTGGTCTGATTGACTCGACGTATCTCTGGAGCGTTTCTTTCAGAGGCGGCACCGGCAACTTCATCAACTCTTTCTGTCTCGACATCATCGGTCCCACTTCGGCCGTTGGCGTAGCCGCCGCACGCAATGACACATTCTTGCTCAGTTCGTTCACCTGAACAGCAAGAATCGAACGAAATGAAATTCAAGTCGCACCAACTAAAGATGGAGAAATGGTGCTGGAAATTCGCGTGCTAAAGTACGACCAAATGTAGACATTTTTCTCCTCGCATTTAATTCAGGGGGGGAACAAGCTTTCGCGACAGCAATAACAAACAAGTGCCGAGTGAAACTACACAGAGATGACACATTGGTTTCTTTTATGGAAGTGTTTCTTCCCGACTGCAGCTTCAATATCGTACGATCATAACGCGACTCAACGAGTATTTATGAATGCATAGAAGCTAGCTATCGAGGTGTCGTCCCGTTATGTCTCAAGCACAGATAAAAGAGATCGGCAACATCGAGTGGCCGAAGCAGGCAAACGCGGACTGCCGCTGTTACCATTTTTCTGCGTGCGTAGGCGAGTAGTGATCCTGCAATGATCATCTCAGCTGGCAATGAACAGGTTTGGTCGTTTCCTAAACTTCCTCGTGTTTTGCTCCCTCTCCCGTAGTCTGCTGTCGGTTGTTTTGTTTACGTTTTCATCGAGAGAACGCTGCTAGCGATGACGATGCCACCCACAACGCCCACACCTAACCCTTCCTCCTCTCCCCACAAAAAAAGCAACTGAGAATAAAAATAGTGCAATATTTGCTCTAATGCCGTAAAATTAACGCATTATATTGAAAGTTTGTCACTTTTAAGTACAATAAGTGAACTTTTCAGTCAATGGATTCGCCAGCGCAAGCAGACGACAATACTTGCAAAACGCAGTTGCGGTGCGTGCGATCAGCTTTGCTTCGATGGATCCCTATAGAATTAAAAAAAGCTCGTCGAAGGAGTAAGTAATTGTTCGCTACAGGTGTACAGAGGTGCACCTTTCTGTGGGTGGCCGAAAAACTAGATATTTCGGTCTCGCGCCTGAGAAGCGACGTCCCAAACCGGCGCGTCACTTGAGCTCTCCCAAAGTACTGCTGTCTGATGGCCGTTTCACTTAATGTCGTCAAAACAAACTTCACCGACTTAAAGAGTTGCATTGACCCATTCACTCTCGTGATGTACATCATTGTACATCATGTACATCATCAGATTGCGGAATAACTCTGGCGAGGCACGCACGAATTCGCTTCTCACATCGAAGTGTCGATCGTGCAAGTCGACACGGTCATTGGCGATTTGAGGACGTTCCATTTTATGTGCGATGTTTTTGTTTCTTTTGTTTGCCTTTTGTTTACCTGTAAAGATCGGGAGATGGGTTTGATTCCTGCGGTCACGGTCATGGTTGCGCATATGTTATATTACATATCTCTAGGTGTGCGTCAAAAACCCCAGCAGGTGAGAATTAACCCGGAGTCTGACACTATGTCAGTATGTATGTCAAGGTTCTGGCAAACTTATAGTATTTGTTAATTTACTTAATTAGCAGTTAAGACTCTCTTCAATCAACCAACGTCCGAGTGCGAGCTTGGTCAAACATTTTCTCTGCACTGCGCATTTTAACATTCCGAGTCACTGAAACCTGACACGTACCGTGAACAAAAAGAAATGCAATGCGAATTTACCTGTGGGGATTGTTTCACACTTCTAAAATGTAACGTTTGAATCGTCATTTATGCTAAGAGTCGACAGTTCTGAAAATTTATGCTTCTTTTTTTTTGCCGCATAGCGTTGGACAACATGTATTAATTATACAGGTTCCTTCTTTTAGCGGATACGAATTTTTCAAAATATAAAAATGTCGTATCAGTCAGGCGTCTGTCGTTTTCGCACGTGAACTCTGTACTTACGAACTAGCTCAACTTTCTAATATTTTAAATATGCTCACCGCATGACAGCTGCGCGCTGTGCACTCATCCACGTCTCTGCCGTCCGTTCCCGAAAAGTGTGACAGCTCAACGCACTAAATCCCCATAAATTCGCACGAAATCCCCAGAAGCTTGGTAAAGTGAAGTTTTGCGCCAGGGGCGTAACCAGGGGTGGCACACTGGACACGTGACCCCCTCCCTTTTTTTTTTTTTTTGCCATAGCCTGGAGAGCAAGAACTGACCATTTGCCCCTCCCAAAATCAAGGTGGTGCACCCCTCCCCAACCGAAAAAACGTTCTGCCTACGCAAACGCTGCTTGTTGGAATGCTGGGACTCGTTCTTACTACGTTTAACTAGCTTTTGCTTGAAGATATTCTACCATCATCGATGTTCCACTAGATTGCGCAACTTCCCAAATTTGTTTTGTCCTCTTATATCTGCTTCTTTCTCCTATTTCTCTTTTCTTTCCTTGATTCTCTCTCTCTTTCTCCTTATGTGTTTCTTTGTACTTCTCTCTCTTTCTTTCAATGTTATGCTTTACTCTCTCCCCTCCTACTTCCCTCTCACTTCCTTTTTTGTCCAGCGTGAGAAGGTTTTTTTTTTCACTTCAATTTTCTTTTTCTGTTTATCTCTTTCTCTCTTTCGCTTTCCCTCACCCCCTTACAATACACGGGCAGTATGTTACCCAACTTCTGTAACACATACCCATTCAGGATTATGATAGTGTTTTAATAGTCAGGACCATGTTCACGACACATTATGCCAAGCGCCAGAACAACTTTGGTGTTAAAAAAATGAGGAGAGGGACACAGCAGACGCATTTTGTCGTCGCCGTCGTGATAGTTCCATTAAAGAGAGCGAGAAATAGAGTTTATTGGGCAATCCTGCGTGGGGATGGTGGGAGCACCGCGCAGGATTCCGCACCCTCCTGTCTATCTAGACCTCAACGACGGCAGGCCCAGCGCGAGCTACTAGGGGTTTGCTCTTTGCTCCGTTCGCTTTTGCCGAGCCAGGGCCGCGTCAAGCCGCTGGATGGCGTTGAGCTGCGCCTCATGATCGGGCGAGCCTATGTGGTTCACAATGTCCGGTGGTAGTGCGTCGGTGATCACTCCCCCCGCACACGCGTCACACCCCCACAGCACATGTGTCAGCGTTGCCGGTTCTCGCGCACAGATACTGCACTTTGCACTTTCGTAGAGTCCGGGGCACACGTGTCGGGCCAGGGCGGGCGTGAGCACCGTGCCGGTCTGCCTCAGGAGGACCCCCTCGCGCCGCCCCAGCCTCGGGTGAGGCCCGGGAAGCGCTCGGCGGCCCTCTCGGTACCACTGAAGGATGCTGCCGTAGTCGAGTGGCGGGTCCGAGTCCGGGGGTTCGGCTTCTTCCGCGTCCGAGGGGAAGCGCCGCAAGGTGCGTGAGCTCGCGGGCGACGGCGTCCGCCCTTTCGTCGCCGCTCCGCCCGGGATGGCTTTGACGTGGGCCGGGAACCACCGTAGATGTGTCGTAGTTGACTTGCTTCTCGGCAGCAGTCTTGCTGCCGGTGTCCCGATGCTCCCGCGGCCGAGATTGGCAATGGCCGTGCGGGAGTCGCTCAGGATGGTGGTGACTTCGGGACTCTGCCGTTCAGCGCCAGGGCGATGGCAACTTCCTCCGCTTGCTCCACAGACGTTGCTCGGACGCTGCAGGCGTTAAGCAGTTTGCCGTCCGTGGCTCGGACAACCACCGCTACGTAGGTGTGCGCTCGGTATTGATGCTTGGCGGCGTCTAGGTACACCGCCGTCGAGTCACTGGCGTGAGTCTCTACCAGCGCGTTCCCTGCCGCTTCCTTCCTGGACGTTCTGCCCACCACGCTCCTGACACGGACGGTGGCGTCCATACCGTGGCACATTGCGTGGCTTCGACCCTTGCACCCTACAGTTCAGCATTCACTTCATGCCAGTGTCGCTTGATGCTAGTGGACCCACACTGGTGTGTATACGTTCCTGGGAGGTACCCATGCTTGAAAATGCCTCCACTGCATTCGACCAGCATAACGTTTTAAATGCCGGTAATCCAAAGGGGCATCAAAGAAAGCAGCTTGGACGAGCAGAAGCAATTAGATGAGGTATATGAACTCGCATCACAAGGCCTTGGACTACTATATATATATCCATTGGACGGGCAAGTAATCCAGGCCAATCATCCGCGCTGAGCCCAGGCGGTGGCCAACCATCGCTGCTCCAACTCGGCTATCCAAGCTTGCGCCAAGGACAGCCAGCTGGGCTGGCTGGCCTTGGCATGAGCCCGGATAGTTCCATGGCACCCGCATTCAGCATTATTTGGCCGTCCAGGACCGTCGAGACCGATGCCAGCGAACCCCGCCGGGTGTCCGCCACACTGGAAGCCCAAGCCCACGCCACCTGGACCCATTGACGCAGTCCACGCCTAGGCTAATGAATGCTGTCAATCATGCCTCTCTCATGTGGTCGAAATTTCTGGAACCCTCCACTACGGCGTCTCTCATAATCATATGGTTGTTCTGGGACGTTAAACCCCAAATATCAATCTGTCAAAGCAAGCAGGTCATGGTCGATAATGGCGGCCGAGACACCCCTCGTAGGTCCATTTTCATTTTTGCATCTACTGCGAAGCTTGCATTTTTTAGGACTCGACCATCGGCATGGAGGGCGAGAGGGAGGCAGGTAATGCGGTGAAACGTGGCTTCTGCTAATCCATACTGGATCACCCTACGCACGCCTATGTATATGTTGCTGCCTCTACCATAGTAACGATAAACAAAATGTTAAGATACACGCGTCGCACATTTCTTGTGAGAATTTGGCAAACTATAAGTGCTGCAAGGCTAGCGTTCAATGGTGGTACCTTTTTTTCCCTCTCTCTCTCTCAAGAGGGATTGAATTTGGCAAGAGAACATAAAGTGTGGCACAAGAAGTAGAGGCCAACAATTACGCCACAAATGATTGTAGTACCTTGCGCTGGTATGCGGTGATCTGGAACGCACGAAATGTTTCTTCGTGCATTGTCCAGGTGGTCGCTTCGCTCACAGAGGCATAGAAAGAAGTTTTAAAAAAAGTAAGTATACGTCTGCATGCATACATGTATACCATCAACAACAAAAGTTTTGCGGAACGTGAAATGTTCGATAAAGCTCAATTTTTCACTTTGACTTGGATTTTTTTGGAAATAAATGTTTCATACGACACTTAACATTCTGACCTGTACAGTAACCAGCTCGATCGTAAGCATTAAGCACTGATATAGCAGAAATTCGCATTTATTGTGGATCCAAGGTCCCACAAACTTTTACTGTTAATAGTATGCACTTCGGTGGCGCGAAACATTCGGTGCCTCGAAGGTTACCACAAGTAACATGTATATAAAAAAGCGATTCACTGCACGACTACTCAAATGCTATTTGCACATGTGCGGTTGACACAAATTCCGCGGAGGAGTCAGCAATGCCCAATTAGTTTTTGTGTAGTTCGTTCATATAACATTCAGGGTAAACGCTCCTATGGTAACCCTTAACACCTTCAAGAAGATTAATTTCTTGCGCACTTCTGTGAAGCGTGTTTGTTACCAGATAATTATCAACAGCTATAGCTTATGTACTGCAGGGGAGTTGATGGCAATAACTTACTTCAGGATTATCTTTTCCGGCAGCCAGGAGAGCCACTTTTCATCAGATCCGCTATCCTTCAATACAGTGGCGAGTTCACATATATGCAGAGAAGGCTACACATCGTGTATACGGTGCGTCTCTCTACGTGCCGAGACTCCAGCTTCCTAATACAAAGTAGCGTACAAAACGCGTGGAACACTTTTAAATGATCACGAAATCTTGACAATATTTTCGAGAACGGCACTGGCCTAAACTTCACCGTTTAGGGGATGAAAGAACGAGCTCTCCGATTCTATTGGCCTCAAGTTAAAATTCTTACACGCCTGTTTGCAGTATCATCTACGTTCACCAATGTCCCTACTAAACTTCACATCAAATCATTCAAAAATAAGTAAGCACGACGTTGCCTTTTCTTGTATTTGTTCTGCGTTGCAGAAATATTGTCAGGGTGGGCTGCAAATAAGCTTTAATGAATAAGTTCCTTAACTGGAGCAAGCGGGTTTTGGCCCCGCCATGGTGGTCTAGTGGCTAAGGTACTCGGCTGCTGACCCGCAGGTCGCGGGTTCGAATCCCGGCTGCGGCGGCGGCATTTCCGATGGAGGCGGAAATGTCGTAGGCCCGTGTGCTCAGATTTGGGTGCACGTTAAAGAACCCCAGGCGGTCAAAATTTCCGGAACCCTCCACTACGGCGTCTCTCATAATCATATGGTGGTTTTGGGACGTTAAACCCCACAAATCAATCAAATCAAGCAAGCGGGTTTTGTGAACACTTCATCGTCCAAGCGTGCGAAAAGATGCGCAAACGTTTGCAAATAAATATATACATATAAGAGACAGTCTGAGAATGTTGAATGAACCACCAAATAAAAAAAAAGTACACGGTTGTACCATATACTCACCGAGTGGGACATGGTTTGAAAAAACATGGTCAAACGATATGGCGTTGACTTATATAGTTTTTTAGCCCCCACATAAGCTTGAGTTCATGTGCGCAAAAAAAAAATGCTTTGCTAAGCAAAGGGAAGGCGATAAAAGGGTTCCTGTTAACCGGTGTATAAACCCCCCTTTCCACTATACAGATTGAAATGAGGCCATTGTGTATAAACCATCATTACTGGCCATGCGGGAAAACTTCCATTTGCCAGAACAGAAGATGCGTTAGCGTTCGCTATAAGGGAAACACGATGTTTATTGCCAGAGACAAAGCCGCTCGCTCTCGCCGCTCATTGTTACGAATGCGGCTGCGCACACTTGTCCAGCGACAAAAGGTAGTGTCATAACACAAAGTGCAGATCGCAAGAGAAGTCATTGAGGCCTTCTAGACGCGAAGAAAATGCGACAAGTGTGTTTGTCTGCCATCAATTTCGCTCAGTGACGCAGAATTTATGGAGACCTTACACAGCACTTGTACAGTATGATATATCTGTATTGACCTACTTGGAACCTTTTTTGTTTTTTTTTTGTGATTTATGCTGTACGTCACCTATATATGTGTTTTTTTAAATAAAATTTAGTTGCGAGTTAGCGCCTTCCCCGTCCAGTGTGCGCTGCAGTGCATCAACCAAAAAATGAACGCATGCCAACTCGTGCGCTTCCAGTCATATGGTTCACATTTACGTTGATATATGCAACATCGGGACTGCACCTCCACCTGCGTACACCCCGCCGCGATGGTCTAGTGGATAAGGTACTCGGCTGCTGACCCGCAGGTCGCGGGTTTGAATCCCGGCTGCGGCGGCTGCATTTCGATGGATGCCAAAGTGTCTGAGGCCCGTGTACTTTGATTTAGGTGCGCGTTAAAGAACCCCAGGGGGTCCAAACTTTCGGAGCTTTCCACTATGGTGTCCCTCATAATCGTGTCGTGGTTTTAGGTGGTTAAACCACAAATATTATTATTATTCTTCGTCCGCGTTCAAAATAACTGTCGCCAGCAAAACAACGAACTTTGCCCTGGATGCCCACGTGCTGCTGTTGTCGTAGGATTCACGTGCGCATGTTGTCACGTGACGTGGACAATGGAAGCAGTCAGCGTACTGAAGGTCAAACTTCATTTAGCCGTAGAGTTGCGGCCTCAAAACGGTATAACTCAAGTTACAACAAGAATGGCACGCTGTATACACTGATATCGGCGCACGGAGCGTCCGCCGTTGAAATACTAGGGAGTTTTAGAATACCGTTTGCGAGCGCTGCGGGCGTAGCGGGCGCCATATGAGTTTTAGAACAGCGTTTGCCCTGCTGCGATCCGCAACGCACGATCGCAGTGACACCGTAGCATCAGAACCAGCGCTTGCGGGCCACATGCGGGCCGCCATTACCGCACGCAATTTCGGACTTTTTGCGTGCGGTCCGCGAACGCGAACGCCGACTTGCGTTACGACGCATGCGCAGTGGCAGCGACCACACCGCAAGGGCTCACGGTGCGCTATTCTAAACCTCCCTACTGATCGTTAGGGCATGGTTAAGGTGCCTCGATGTGCAGCGGGCATCGAGGCACTCCACTGATCGTCGTCGGAAAGCGCCGTCTTTTGTATACATCGCGCGTCAAACTTTTCAGCTTTATCACTGGTCATCGCGGAAGCTCTGGAGTAAGACGATAGTTATAGCGCGACAACAGAACGACGACACAGACGACGACACAGAGACAAGAAGGACACGAAGGACACGAGCGCTCGTGTCCTTCTTGTCTCTGTGTCGTCGTTTTGTTCTCGCGCTATAACTATCGTCATGCCATACCAACTACCCCAAGCTGCCACACTTCTGGAGTAGGCTTGAGTGTTCGTGTTTTGCGCGCAATATCAACAAAAGGATCTACGTACTACAGTAGTGAAGCCTCTCGAACGAAGAGGCGAGGTCTGCGCCGAGCATTTTTGGCAGTCTTTGTGGGCCGTAAACTAAGTGCAGTAAAATTGAAACAAACGCGCACGGCAATATCAACAGCTTGGAGAAGGAAATGAAAACGCAGCAGCAGCCACCGAGTGGCTGCTGAGTTTTTTCTCGTATGCGTTGCATGCATGGTGGTTGCATGAGAAAAAAAAACACGAGAGATGGGGAGCGTGATGTCTACAACTGCTCTAGTAACATTTCGAACACACACTGCCATATTGTCGAGTCAGCCATCCTGTCAGCCCCGACTGGCCTCACAGGACTTTTGTATACGGCCTGTCCGTATGAATAAATGATAGGACTCTGTATAGCGCAATCTGACTGTCCATTGCAACCATTGACTGCGACATATAGAGACTTTTTTTAATTATTTTGTGTGGCTTTCAAACGAGGTCTTCTCTTTTTTGTTGAGCTGTTTCATGTTACTGTTACACGGGGCACACCGGAGGCCAGCTAACAACTTTCTTGACGCACACTTCCACCAGTAACGGACACGACAGATATACCTCAATCTTTATTTTTTTTTCTGAGCATGTTTCTCTGTTCTGGCTATCTCCAAAGCATCTGTACACAGAAGCAGCATACAAATTTTGCGCCGTACGCAAGTGTCGTGGCAGCAAGAGAGCTCGCTTCCTTCCTGTCCATAGACCCGTTTCCAAGTTAACAGGGGCATCGATCTCATACACCTCTATTTGCGACTTGCGTCCCTGCTAGTGTACTACTTGTCGGGTCCTAGCGGTAGGCGCTCAGATTTTGCACTTCTGCAGCGTGGTGAGGTTGGTGCCGAACTCCTTGAGCGTCGTCACCAGCGCGTCGCGAAATTTTGCCGCCGAAGTCTCCTGGTCGGAGTGGCGCGTGCAGATGCTGAAGCGGAAATGGCTGCTCTGGTTGTTGTAGCAGATTCCGTAGCCTCCGGGAACCGAGTAGCCGAATGACATGAGAATGTCGTTGTGCGCCGACACCTGCACGGGCACAGAACACCTTGCTTTAGAGCGATACCTCCTACCACGAATCCGGGAAACGGCTGTGTGAATGCGCTCGACCTTCGAGCTCATCCGACGCCGGTTCTTCTTCTCTTCGCACGTGCGTCGCCATAGCAACGGACATGCGTAGAGTCTGTTGATGCTCCTCCGTCACATACCTCTCCCGCATACAGCGTGTCGCGCTGTCCACACGTCGACACGTGGGGCACCATCGAATAATGTACTTGTATATACAAGTTTCAAAGGAAGGCCATAAGGACCCCATGATCCGTTTTCTTAGGGCCTCAGTAATGTTCTCTCTCTATCTCATGTCAAAATATGCAACATAGCGCGGGAGAGAGTCAAATAACGACCACGTGTCACACAACGCGAATTATACGTGACTAGTGGGTCGTTTAAATCTTGAAACCCATTACAAATGGTTGAGTGATAATTATTCACTGTCATCAGCCACCGCATCAACAAAGTGCACAGAATGCTCCGTGGCTGTGTAGTGGCCGGGCATCTCGTGTCTCCGCAGAATGACGAATAATGACGTAGTGGTTATCCAAATTTGACAAAAGTTATGATTTATTGCGAGGTGGGTACCTTGCAGACGTACTTGAATTAGTATACTTATAAGAGAGTTCACCACGGGCTTATTATTATTATTATTATTATTATTATTATTATTATTATTATTATTATTATTATTATTATTATTATTATTATTATTATTATTATTATTACATCTGCTCCAGAACTGCGTTTTGTAGTAAGTGATGTGGTAAGACCTGATGCGCTGTGGCATGCATGCTGACTGGCGGGCTGTAACGCATGTACGATTAGGGATCTCAACGCGAGTATACCGTATAGTATACGGGTTCTCAACATATCTTAGTCATACTAAACCCTGACAGCGAGATAGGTAGTGCCGTAAATAAGAAGCTCCTTTTTTTTTTTTTTTGCTCTAAGTGAAAAAAGAAACAAAGGAAAAGAAGATCCGAATTTCAATCGTGGGTTTGATTTTGTACCCTTTTGTTGGCTACGACCATACGCACGAATTAAACCTACTATGTAAACCTTACCCAACCATCCTTGCGACGGCTGGTGAGTGGTGACATCGACTGCTTGTAGGTCTTTAGGCGTGATACTCTACACGCGCAGCGAATGTCCGCAGATATTTACCCCACCAATAAAACCACGCGCCTTATACTACATTATAAAATATTTTGGTATATCTATCCAATGTTCGCCTTTCAAGATAGAGTGAGTCTCTCTCCAGCCTTTAGATAGCGAACATTTTCCCGATTAGTACACCTCTTCTTGTTATTTCTTAAAGGGCTTACTAACAAAAGCGCATGAACGATATTTCTTTCTGACCCAAAAGTGTAGCATCTTTCTCTCTTTTTCTCGCGACATCAAACTTTGGGACTCGTTACCTGATGAATAATGCGATTACACTGTATTTACAAATTTCTTTAGAGAACGCTGAATGTTGTTTCATTTTTAGAGCTTGTATGTATACGCGCGTCGTGTGTCACATCCCTCTCTCGTTCTCTTTACCCCTATCTCGCACACCTTGCAGTTCGTTTAAAGGACCGTGATTACAACGTATTTCTTCGTGTTGTTTTAATTTCTCTGTCATTCCGCTCATGCGATAGCCTAGACGGGCTGCAGTGTAGTCAATTAAGTACTTGACTACACTGCAGCCCATGCAAGGGCACACGCGTGCCGTGGGTTGTTCGTGCCGTAAGCAAAAAAAAAAAGCAGTCACCTGGCTGGTGGACAACTCGTACGTGATGCTCTTGAGATAACCGGGGTCACTGTAGAGGTCCGGCAGCGGTCTATTCATTTCCTCTGCGACTTTTTTGAGACCGAGCAGCACTCGATCCACTCCTTCGCCGTACAGAGCCTGCGAGGAAACCGCCATCATCGCCCCAAAGAAAAGACAAACTGATAAAGCTACGCATGTCTTCGCCTCGAACAGGCGGTATGAACCGAATGCCGGCAAGGAGACATGAAAGTTTGCTTGCCGCTTCAGTATAAAGTGATGCGAAGGTATTTATTACCGGCTGATTTAAAAAAAATAGACTTCGAGGAAGACGCTATCTGTTCTGGGAAAGTAAACCTAGATGCTCGGTGAACAATAAAGGCGCAAGGGGCTTCGTGAGAAATACGAATAGTTTCGCAGCTCATTTTACGTGTCAACTCCAACAACCCGTTTATCCTTCTGACTCCATTTAATTTCACCTCACTCAAGTGTGTTTGTATACCCAGCCCCCTAATAGAAGGTGCCCTATACATGCTGGGTAGGTGAACGCATCATGTTCCACATATAGGTGCATAACACGTGTGTGGCGGCGAGACGTTGACGCACAAGAAATGCGGCTGGAGCCATCGTGTTAATGAGGCGGCTTCTCCATCGGGCAGCAAGTGTTTTCCTTTTACGCAGCAGCTTCGGTTGGGCTTCAGCAGTGTCACTTGCTTCACGACATTCCGCCACTACAAGACTTTCCGCGAGCTGCTTACTTGTTGACATATACTATAACCACAAAGCCAGCAAGGAAGGATATCGGAACTCTGGCAAGCCCCTTCGCCATAGTGTGGCCCCTTATAACAGCAACTATAAGAAACAAAAATTAGGGTTTGTTGGAAGACGTTCATGAACAATGCTATATGTATGCCAAGTCCCTGGATCATAAGAGTGCGCAGGGTTCCCCTTCAGTGGGGGGAGGAGGGAGACGAAGGCTCACCACAGCGCCCCCCTTTCTATCATATCAATGTATGGGGTGGGCTTGGTGCTCCCCTCTCGCTCCCCTGCCCCCCCCCCCCTCCCTCCCCAGTGCACACGTCTATGCCTAGGACAACGTCGTGTACCTAACCGGTATTTCCTCTCTTCACTACGTAAAACACGTTATTTGGATGCTTCCTAAAGTTACACCGTTCGCAAATGCTCGATAACAAGCCCGCTGAAGAGCATTGAGGCTGTGTTTATGTGGCGCTGTCCATGTCGCAATTTTAACTGCTCACCCCCCTCCCTCCTCTTACTCTCTTCTTTCACTCATAGGAGAAAATTACTATTGTCAGCGTCATAAATACACCACACTTACTTTCCAGACACCCGTCACATTTACAATCCGCGTGTGTGCATGTAGAGAAGCGCATAGGGCACACAAATTTTTTTTAAGCTGGCCAATTACACCTCGCTGTTCTGTCATTCGGTGTCCCTCGTTAATTGAATGCTTTGGAACAGCAGTATCTTTGAGGAAACGTTTGTAAAAACTAATTCGTCGGCCCTTAGCCTTCCAGGTCAAAATCGAAACTAGAGCATTTGTCTTTTTCTTTCTCTCCTTCTATTGTGAGCAGCACGGTGTGTCACGGTGAGTGTATAGTACTAATCAAATGCCGCACTATAAAGCACTCACGCGCGTGGCGTATTCCTTGTGAGAGGCGGCGGCGTTCCTGAGCATAGCGTCCTTTTCGGCCATGTTTAGTGTTCCCTTCAGGTACTCCCGGCAGAACTTGTCGCTCTCCGTGCACTGCGACCGGATGGCTTCGGTGCGCCCCAGCAGGAACATGCGCGTCGACGCGCTCTCGTACGTCGCCGGGCTGTGGCCGTGCAACCTGCGCAGTGCGAACCGACCTTTGCGCAGTCTGCGCCTCCGCTTCCCTGACCTCCGGTGAAATACCGGAGGCCACGGAAAAACCGAATGGAGAAACGTGGAATCCCCGCGAGAGCTACATTGGGACATTAAACTTAAATAAGTATTCTTGTGGGAGGTGTACAGCAACCATCGCTGTTCAGCCAGCGTGGTGATTACAGCTGTCGACATTATCCGCTTTACTTTATGCCCACTGCTGAATAAATAACCTTCTCCAAATATATCCAGTTGCCACTGCCCACGTATACATTAGACATAGACATGTATAATAGATTGATTAATATGGGAGGTTCAACGTCCCAAAACCACCACATGATTATGAGAGACACCGTAGTGGAGGGCTCCGGAAATTTCGACCACCTGGGTTTCTGTAACGTGCGCCCATATCTGAGCTCACGGGCCTACAGCATTTCCGCCTCCATCGGAAATGCAGCCACCGCAGCCGCGATTTGAAGTGTGGCAGCTTGGGCTAGTTGGTATGGCATGACGATAGTTATAGCGCGAGAACAAAACGACGTCACAGAGACGTGTCTTTCGTGTCCTTCTTGTCTCTGTGTCGTCGTTTTGTTCTCGCGCTATAACTATCGGGATTTGAACCCGCGACCTGCGGGTGAGCAGCCGAGTACCTTAGCCACTAGACCACCGCGGCGGGGCATGTACAATAGGCACATATGATAGATAATGCAATCGGTATAAGCATAATCACACGTAATATATACATATATATGCCCCCGCATGGCTTAAAACAACTTTGCAGCTTTTCCTGAAATATAATGTTAAACTAAAAAAATGCATTTCAGATGGCATACAGTTCGCGATGAGCAGTCTCATTGCTTTCATAGGATCTTAGAAAGTTGTACGATTGCTTGGAAGTATGTCAATACATAGGCTAATGAAGATATGACAAACCGTCATAAATAAAGACACAAGGGCGTCTGACGCCCCAGCACAAAGTGAGACAAATCCGTGCAAGCAGCAGACGTGATTTCCACGTATTCTTTTGCAGAGACCTAGTTGCTTTAGGAAATCTCAGGATACTCTGGGAACGCTATATGTCGGTGAGCACCGCTTATACGCGGTGTACACACGTAAACACACCTGGTTAAGTCACCATGGTATAATCACGTGACGTGGTAACTGTGCATCTCCTACACGTATACACTATATCGAATGTCTTAATTGCAAACCAGCAGGGGCTGCGGGGGCAAGAAGACACTTTCAAAAGCATAAGCCTGTTGAAAAACATGAGCCTTTTTAGGTTTTTTCACTCTTAATAAACTATGACAAACTAACTCAAACTTGCACACTATTGAATTTGCTGTACAGCGCCGCGTCCGCTTCAGCTCGTCCAATCCCATTAGCGTTTCTGGTAGGAAAGTAGCAGTGGCGCAGGGCTTGAGAATGACTTTGGCAGGCCTTAACGGTCAAGGACATAGTGGCTTCGGCATGTCTTATGGGATGTGTTTTATTGAAAGAAACATGAAGTATGAAAAAAAAATGAAATAAGGTATTCTTTCAAAGTGTGATAGATGGCAAATATTGGTGCTATACGAAGATCACAATTTTTAGGGTGCAAGTCTATTGCAGGAGTGCTCATATAATAAGAAGGTAAATACCATACCCACCAAACCGATAAACGGGAAAAATGTAATAACTTTACTGCAGTGATAAGAAACGTCTCTCATTAAAAATACACAAGTTAAAGATGTATCTATTGTGCATATATGCAACGATAAAAAATATCTGGCAATATCTGGTGTTTAACAGGACCAAAACACGATATGATTATAAGGCACACCGCAGTGGTTGACTGCAAAAAAGTTCGACCATCAGGTGTTCTTTAACATGCCCTGGCATTAGCAATGTCGCCTGTTGCGCGAGTGCCACTCTAGCGAGACTCCAGCGAGGCTCTTTTGGAAAATAGCGTGAGAACTTCCAATTCACGCATATCTGTGGCTACGCTGTTAAGTCATGGTTTTGCACTTTAATCGGCAATCACGCCGAATACAGAGTGCCGACTGGATCACAATGTCGTCACCTGACAGTCCTTATGCACCACGTCAAAAGCGCGTTAGCAATGCGTTCAAAGAAGTCCATCAGGCGCAGATATGGACTCTATCGATACAGAGACGGACTGCATGCAGTATACATATGCATGCGTACTTGTCCGTGTAGAACGTCTCCTTACGCACGCTGCAGTTAAATGCGCGTGTACTGAAATAAACACATCTTAAGCGGGAAGAGACAGATCATCTCCTGTATTAGAAACGAACCGAAAGAAGGACAGCTGGAATGCCATCTGGACGAAACTGTCGGGGCTCATACGGCATGATTTGATGAATTCCTTGCCGTAATCCGTGAACCGGAGATCAAGGATGTCCACGTCCTGTGCCAACCTTGAAATGAATGAATGGATAATGAATGTCCAGTAGGTTTAAACCTTTATGCATGTATTTACGCATATATGTTTCATTTAACTTTACGTCTGTATCTACAGTCTACACGCACAGTAGACATTAGAGGGGAGGCATTACTTTCTACAGTTACTGTGAACACAACGTGGAATACGAAACAGAAACCGAATCGAAGTCAGCGACAAAAAAAAAAGAGCTCAGTACGTGCCAATACTCGCGTTCCGATGAAAAATTTAAAAAAATATATCAAAAGTAAGCTACAGCTGAACATCGTTACATTGAGCATTGATATAGCAAACTATCTATCGTAGCGAACCAAATGCGAATTTTGGTTGTCTACACTTCATTTCCATGAGATTCTGTGTGTGTGTGTGTGTGTGTGTTTTTTTTTTTTGAGAACTAAACTGAAAACGAAAGCGCCACCGCGATATTGACTGTAATGAATAGACATTTGGTATGCGTGAGGCTCAAGACTTGACAAGTAGAATAAAAAAGAAAGATAAACATTGAACCTCAATTCACAGCAATTTTATTTTAATGCTGTGGCATTAAAAAAGCTGAGAAGCTCCTTCGGAACTGCTGAAGTAGAAAGGAGCCTCTCGTGCATGAACAGTGTATTAAATTCATTCTTCACAGTGCTGTGAGAAGCCACCAGAAGAAGATCACGTCCTTATTCAATCACGCTGGCCTCTTTTGACGAACAAACTTTTTTGTAATTTCACTTCCTCATGTACCGGTCCATCTAGTTCGAAATTCCACGAAGAGACAGGTACGGATTATTTCGTTCTTTGTGGGTTTGGCGCTTAGAATATTGTGATTTTTTATCTATAGGATTTCCGCGTGAGTCAGATTGGGGACTTGCTAGCGGCAAAATTTATATGTACTGTTACAACGAATATCGCATATACCGAACTAATTTATGGCCGAGATGCTATTTGTTGTAACGAGGTTCTGCTGTATCTAATGCGGTGGCCCTCTTTAAATGCTAAAATCATGCTAAGCATTATTTACGGGACTAATTCTCACTAATTTTTTTAGCTAATTACTTAATGACGCATCGTAATTGACCGATTATGGCTGGCGTGAGTGCAAGACGTATTCATTTCGAACGAATTAACAAGTTGCCGGCCATATTACCTGAAAAAAAAAAGCTCGTCATTTGCGCGTGGTGGTGGCGGTGACAGTATGGAAGGAAGGGGCGAAGATCAATTTTGGGGACGACTAAACCTGGGAGTCTGCCACCGTAGTGGCATAGTGAACTAAGCTTAAAAATAACGGATATTTTGGCTTTTAACGCTGCTCTTGGACAAACTAAATAAATTATTTGCACATTCATAATGGATATTAGAGTGTATTGATGTAACAGATATTTGTTGGGTGTTTTCGATAATGCGGCATTCGTTTAATGCGGATACATTTTTTCGGTTCCCTCAAATACGAATTAACGAGGTTTCGCTGTAACGGGAAACTTGCTTAGTGGATGTTGGTTAATCCACTACCAAATCACGTAGTTACAGTATTTGTGGAAAGCTTCCATAGCTGACGGTTTACATTTGAGGAAACTTCTTGTTCGAAAACATTTAATATAATTAAAGACTGCTGGCAATCTTTGGGAAACGCCCGCACATTGTACACAAGGCGTTCGGGTGGCTTTCGTTCTTACGCGATTAAGCATCTGAGAAAAAAAAATTTGCTCACGCATGTTTTTTTTTTTTTTTGACACCTCATCGCGTATACGCAAAACACTATTCATTATTGCTTGCGACTGTTCATCGCCATCTTCCAAGTATAAAAGCGAATGCACTCGGAGACTCGGGCTGCACAGTAAAATGAACTGACTCTTCTATTTTGGCCTTGGCCACGGCGATGTCGTCGAGGCTCTCCTTGCTGAGGTTGAACTCCAATTTGATGGGTTTGTCGTCGGGGCAACTCGGAGGGTCAAGCTTGTGCCTTGACGTCTTCTTCCTGCGTGGTGTATATCGTCTGTGAAAACATCATTTTCCGTACAAGATGCCAGTCCAGTGGGAACAGTGTTGAGGGAGCTGTGTGATGACCGACATTGTGGTTTTTATCATAGGCAGACAGTACGGGGAGCTGAGCTCGGGCCCCTTCCGGACTACTTCATGGAGGGCAGAGCAGCCGCCTCGGGATATTTTTAAGGGCCTCGCTTAGGCTCTCATTCATTGCCAAAAGACTGTTCGCCATCCAATATATATATATATATATATATATATATATAGCATGAGCGTTCGGTTTGCTATCCTGCACTGGGCATCGGGAATGGGGATTCCCCACAGATCGCCCACGACCCTCTCGAAGGCCACAGTTTCCCTGTCGCATGTCTGAATGCTGAAGTCATGTTGGCCAGAAAAAGTTTCCGGCCTCAATGACTGACTGGCTGTACATCTCTGTACGTGCAGTGCTCTCCTTCTCTCCTCTTTTTCTCTTTTTAAACTGATTAAATCTTGCAGTTGTTCCGAGCAACTGCATGTTTTAAGGAGTTTTTTTTTTCAAAGACACTAGGTGAAAAAAAAAACATGTGTATATGACTGTGGTTGCACGAAGCTTCACAAGATCTCGACACCACCGTCTGGTAACCCGGTACTCCTACACCGCTTGCGTACCGGATAGAGTACACGCTCAATGCTTGCCTTGTGATTTTGCCATGGAGGTGATTAATTCTTATCTAAATTGAATATTATTCAAGTACACTTATTACCATTATTTAGTAGTTTGTGCAAACGCAAAGTTACATATGTTTGCGTATGCACGTTAACGTTTACGTATGAGGAGCGAAAATCATGCTATAACACGTGTTCCGGCAACATGGAAGACGCAATCCGGTATTCCTGTAACACGCGTTAAAAAGTAAGCGTGTAGCTAAAAGTCCCTAATAATCCACAAATAGGAGAGCTGCGGCCCCCACGCTCACAAACATACAAAAAGAGCATGTTGTGACTTAGAGGTAAACGTCACGAGAAACGCGTTAGCATTAAGGTGGTACCTTATTACCTCGCAGATTTTTTTGCGAGTCTAGATTGAATTCCGTTACACCGCTTAAAACTTGCATCTATACTTTTTGACAACATATCCGATTTCCGTCACGTGATATTACTACCACAACACGTGATGTTTATTAAGCTACTAACGGCTTGTCACTTCGGCTTGCCACTTCTCGTTTTAATTCTTTCTAGTTGACCCGGTATACATTTCGATAAAATTGCTTTCGCTCTACACTTCCACTTACTATTTTAAATTATTTCAAATCATGTTATTTGCCTACGTGTAAATTTGCTTTTTATTCTTCCCAACTCTTCCTCGAAGTGACTTCATCTTAAGCGGGTGGTTCTAAGGGGGCGATGTACCGCTGATAAGTTACGTCACCATGCAACATGGCCATAAGCAATTTATTACGAAAGCAATTACATAGACACTCTAGGCACACTTTCGCAATCGCCGTCGTCGTGATGTTCTGCACAAAGTTCGAATCGATAGCATGTGCGACGGAAGCGTGCGAGGGTTGCCGGCAATCGCGGCTCAAGCATGAGATGAAACGCGCTAGCCTCCTCCGTCCCGTGAAAGGCGCACAGGACGGTGCCAGGATTGGGGGAGGGGTGCATAGTTTCGGCAGAAAAGGCGTACTTTGATCGTCCGGGCATGGTCTCTCGTGGTCGAGCCCATCATATCGTTAGAGGGATCAGCAGATGGCTCATACCACAAAGATCGTTTCGCTCGCTGCAGCGGCCACGATTTCTTACGGCATCGTGTCCTTCTTGTCTATTTGTCGTCGTTCTGTTCTTGCGCTATAACTATCGTCATGTCATACCAACTAGCCCAAACTGCCACACTTCTAAGGCACCGTTTTGTTGGGCGACGCCAGATCGCACGCTGTGAGCTGCTAGCCTTGCTTCATATTGCATTCCATTTTGTTGCTATCGCATTCACCACTTTACCCTTGAGGCAAAACTGGGATTTTAAGCGATTTCCGTGGATATAGTTCGATCGCGAAAACAAAAACGGTGTCGGCGAGTGCACAGAAATGCAGGTAGACCCTCGAAGGTAACACACGTATGTCTATGTGCCGTCTTGGATAATTTATGCTTCACGATCGCGGGCTTGAGGGCAATCAGGCGTATTTTATATGGTAGTATGATATTTTATATCGAGGTTACTTGTCATTTCACATTGCCACACTTCATTGTTGGATTTCATTGTTGCATTTCATTGTTTTGCGCATAGCTGTCGATGTTGCCTGTAGCATCACAAGTATCGCTCCCCTAAGCACGTGGGTAACGGAACGTCCAACACTCGGCAGGGAGGAAGGAAAAAGGAGGAAGCAAGACGCATTACGATAGAAATAAAGGTGCAAAGCTTTGCGTGTCCAATTTTTTTATAGGGGAATGGTTTCTAATCTTTTTTTTTCTATATACTTTTCTAATGAACTGGATCAGGATGACACCCCCGAGGGTGGTATCTACACGACACGTCACGTGGCCTCCGGGGTTTTCTGCCTGTATATATATGCTCTTCTAAAAAATCACTAACGTTTCGCTCCCTCCTGCTCTGTCGTTGACGGCGCTGCCGATAGAATTGCAAACGATTATCTGCTCTTCCTGTACAGCACGCAGTGCGATAATATTTCGCTCGTGTAGTACATGTTCACACGCACACTGGCCACATATCGAGAGCATATATTTTGATTGCGTCGAAAAATCGTTACGGGGCGCCTTTTGAGAAACGGGGAATACGCACATGTACGTGTAGCAGTAGTCCATGACGGGAACCACGACAGTGCCGTCGACGGGCGAGTGCTCCAGAACCAGACCTACGTCACCCTCGGCACCGACGATGACCTGCGTATGCACGGACATGGTGCCGCACGCGTGCGATACAATTGTGCAGAGCGCGTGGTACACACGTGACCCACTCGCGGATCACGACGAATACAGGCACGACCTTCTAAAACTGATTGATTGATATGTGGGGTTTAACGTCCCAAAACCACCATATGATTACGAGAGACGCCGTAGTGGAGGGCTCCGTAAATTTAGACCAAAGGGTGAGGAAAGAGAAACCTAACTACGATCACCATACTACCATTTACTTTCCTTAAGAAATTACTGGGGGTAGTTACTGACTACCACCACAGCCACCTTAAAGGGATAGAAAGGGATTCATCACAAAAGGCAAAGCATGCAAGCACGAACACAAGAGAAAAAAAGAGAACACAAACACTTGCTTTTACTTGCTTTTACTTTAATACGGGAACACTTGCTTTTACTTTAATACGGGAACCAGCTGATAGTTGATTATTGAAGGTCGGTGTTTGTATTGTGTTGAACTTTTCGCTTGAGTTCGTGTTTGCATGTTTCACCTTTTTTTCACCATGAATCCGTTTCGGAACTTTTATAGATAATCTAGGATCCCTTTTACAATACCCCACCATAGTATAGTAGCACTATAGGTGAGTAGATACACGTATACATACGTTTATATAGGTGGCTGATAATAGAGGAGAGGAAAGAGAAGGCGCTTGTTTTTGTCTCCCTTCTTGGGGACACGTCTAACCATCTTACAGGGAGGAAAAGGGGGCTCAAGGAGATATAGAGTGAGGAGGGAGGGAGATAAGGGAGTAAGAAGAGGAGGTCGTCCCCCGTGGCACGGGCAGGAGGCCGACGCATCTCGATTAAGCATTATGGAGTTATTTAATCGCGATGCACCTGTCTCCTGCGCATGCCAGGGTGGACGACCTCCTCTCTTATCCAGTCAACCCCACAGCCGAACTCCGCAACATATACAACGTTAAACCAGCACGCGTCATCCCATCTTCCCCTGGTGGCGCGCACCTGCACGGTCTTGTCGTACCAACGGTTTCCGGCGCACTGGGCCTTCCCGCCGCCGACGAGCATGTGAAGCGGGGAGCGCACCTCCCATTCTCCGGTCTCACCGGCCGGCTCGTCCAGGCACAGAACCAGTATGCTCCGTTGCAGCGCTTCCAAGCTCTTCTTGTTGGTCTCTGCGACAACGATCCTTCCAGCATTTTATGCTCCTCCTCCTATAAGGTCACTCGAGCCAATCTTATTGGTGCTAGTATTGCTAAATTCAGTGCCCTCAATACTTATATTTTTTAAAAAAAAACATCATTTGGATGGGTGATCATTGGGGTCAAGTTAACGGGATGGATAGTCATGCTAGGTGACGCTGCAAGTCTTATGGGAAAAAAAATTAGAGCACAACAGATAAAAACGATGGGAGCTACACACAGACGCCACAACCTCTTTAACCAGTGTTTTTAGACCAATCTTGCATTCTCTTGAAAAAAAAAATTATGAAATTAGGTGCACTCTCAAATGTGTGCGTGGAAGTGGTTTCGTCGTATTCAAGTCTAAATATTTGGAGAAAATAGACACTATGACATGACCTTGGTTGCATTGTTTTCACAAATGAAGAAAAATAGCAGCAAATCATTATGATTGTCCAGCATTCAGGGTTATAGCGGAGATGCACTACAAATAAACATTTTTCAGACGTATTTGGCAACAAATAAATTTACTGTTTTTTTTTACCTTAATAAAAATAACGTCAAAAATCAGGGAAGGAATTATTTAACTGGATTGGTGACGTGCGAACATGGCACGAAGATAACACATCACAAAATTGGGTGCTTGTGTGGAAATACAAAAAAAATTCAGGAACCCTTCCTCAATTGGGTAAAAGGTTGCATGCAAATCTTGGCACGGATGGGTAATACGCACTGTATTTATTTACTTATTTTATTTTATTTTTACTTCACGTATGAGTACGTGTACAGAAGTCCCGCCCCCCGTAGCTTTCCCTTCATTGTTAAGAAAAGTTGTCCGCGAGTATAGATACTTCAGCCACCGAACTTAACATTCACATCACTTAATCTAATTGCCCGTTGTCGTCAGTTCTGATTCATAAATTTGAAGTCAAACCTTTAGGCAGACCATTTCTTCAAATGGTCGGTGAAAGTCTTTCTCCCTTGAAATCATGAAAAAAGTTATTGGCTTTCAAACAGCCGTGATTTTTTTATTCAGCTAATAAAGCAGTTGCATAAAAATCAGACCGAGGCACCAAGAAACTACCTTGCCTCTATAACCACTCGTGAGCATCTTTATATACAACAACATTTCTGCGAAAATCCGGCACTAGATGAAATCATGCATTTAGCATTACGCCAGTGGGCTGGGAATTATTCAAGAATGTACACAAACACTGCAGCGGAAACATTTTACCATTTAGGATGAACGCTAATAATTCGACCGGTATTAAGAAAATCAGACTATGTGAGCTATTTACCTCGTGCGCCACAGGTGGCGGAGCTGCGAACGGCACCACGGTTAGCGTTTGCATCACCCTACCCTGGTGATGCAAACTCGGGGATACAGCTTTTGTCGTTTGCTAGGCTTTGGCTTGAACAACAGCATCTTCACTGTAGTTTGCTCGTGTGGCACGGCGTTTCTCGACTGCTAGGTGTATTTTCTTCAAATGACAATCATTTAGATGACTGCTAGCGTGACAGGAGGCTCAGAAATGTTAGCGATTTGTATGTCTTTTATATGCCCATATACGTCGTGGTCAGAATTGTGTCCTCGAGTTTTTAGCATCGCTCACTGGGCTGGATGGTGTTGCAATTGCTTACGTGAAAGCAGCTTGAACGTTCGGCCTCTTTGGCGCATCTTAAGACCGCCCTCGCTGTGGCCACATACTTCCAAAGGGATACAGGTGAGATTAGAAGCAGTGCTTCAGGCCTAGACCCAGTATACGCTATCTTGTTCCTTCGGGATGGGCCATAGGAAATGGCTAATGCAATGCCACTGCGGCATAGCAAAATCTGAGTTAAAGTGGAGTTTTGGGGTAAAACGCGCCTTTCTCCGTCAGTAAAACTGGCGTTGGTAGTATCGTAAGGATTTGGGCTGTATGCGCGTTGGTAATATATAGCGGTAAAAAGAAGAAAAATGACCTTTATGTCTTCCAAAGTTTCGTTGTTTTGGGGCTCTCTCGTCGGTGCTGACTATTGGAAAACTATTCGAAAGCTATTCGCCATTTCGAATATGCACAATCCGATTCGAGTAACGAATCGAATAGACAGTAGAGAGTTTTAAAACAGCGCAACGTGAAGCTTTGCGTTCACGTTGCGCATGCGCCATACACTAATCTCCTGTGCACTCCCGTTCAGTGACAAACGCTAACGCTACGCCCACAAGCTTAGTGTACACTATTCTAAAGCTCCCTAGTTATTCGATTTCTCATTCGAAATTTTCGAATGTTCGCGCATCCCTGAATATTACCGCACCATAAACCCAAACTTGTCAGCCGTTGGCCGACTTGAGCTGCATGGTTACTGCGACCGCTTGAAGATGCCGCCACTTACACGCTCGCGACCGCAGTGAAAGTAAGCCACGCACTCGAAGAAAATAAATAAAAGAAAGTTCTTGGAACCTAAAACTGTCCAGTAAATACTTTTATTGCGCACTATGATCTCTCACTAATTTAATTGACTACCTAGGTGCGCATTACGAAAAAAACTTTATGATGAGTATATTTGTTCTATTATGATGTTATTGAATACAACTAACCTGCAACTGACCTGTGTTTGATTTTTAACGCTGGACCAAAAATAGCCTTCCCTGGCTATCGGGCCAGATCATTGTGTATGTATGTTTGTGTGAAGAAAAAGTAAAGCAGTCCATTTAAAAAAAAAACCCCGTGACTCGCACTGACTAACGGAAGGAGAGAAAAAATGCTTTCATCAACGGACCTTTCTCTGGGTAGCTTTCTGCGCATTCGCTGGTCCGAAAGGAGAGAGAAATGCTTTCAGCGTGTTGCAACTCCCTGTAACTTCGCTAGTGCTTTGCGGATTGTAGCATTTTTTTTTTTTTGCGGCAGCTAGTTGATTCGTCAGACAACAAACTATTTGAAGAGCACTTGTAAAAGTATCGGAGGGCCCCTTTGACGCAAATATCATGACTGGGTGATCAAATTCCTTCCCGGGCTTTCCCATTATATTACGTGATATTCACCGAGCTCCTACATGTGCAGCTTGGCCAGGGCCACCAACAGACCCAGTCGCAGCCGCCAGCGACGCCCCCGCCTTCTCCGTCAACAGGAGTACTCACCGTCGGCGAGAAGTCGCTCGCAGGCCGTGGCCCAAGAGTCCCGGTCCTCAGTGGTGAGAAAGCCAACAGGTGGAGCCGGAGTGCGCGACTCGTTTACCACCGACATCAGCAAAGGGTACAAGTCGCGCTCCTTGTATGGCTTGCGACCGTTGTACGCTTTCACCAGAAACATCTGTAAGCCGACCGGGGGCACCACTCAGCAGCTGACCGCACTTGGTACGGCAGCTAACGACGACTACGCTCCTGATGACGTACGTATATTGTTTCGTCAATTAGTTCTTACCTCATCTATCTTTCTCTCTCTCTCTCTACACCTTTAATCCTATCCTTTTAATCCCTCCTCACCCCCATCCCTTGTGAGCTACTGTTGAGGTGTCGCTCCCTGAAGCAGACAGTTACGGGACTCACTATTCTCTTCCTTTCTCTCTTAGAACCACTTTGTCTATTAGTTCTACACTTGGAACAAGGATGCGTGACACTAACAAGCATGGTGATGTACTTGTTTTTTTTTCAATTGTCCATCCCGGGAACGCTGTACCAACTAACCTGACTACCTAATAGCTTAATCACTTTCGGCTTGGCTGTGTGGATAGTTTTGAACGTGGCCGGGTTAACTGCTATCTGCCGATCAGAAAACAAAAATAAAGAAATGAAATGTGCCAGTGATGGCCTTGATTCATTCATTCATTCATTTATTTATACTGTTAGCCCAGAATTGGGCCGTTACAGGGTGGAAGTACAAACAATTATTTGCGAAAAAGAAGTACCGTACAGGTCTCGAGATAATTTCTCGGTATTATTGTGACCAGCAACTCGAAGTTATACATAACAAGAAATGGAACACACATGCGATGCAATACATACGCGCAGAACAGCACATGGCGCATTTGAGGCGGCACTTTTTCACCGCGCTGAAGATTTGAAAGACAACTACTGCAGTCTCATGCAACCAACAAAAAGTACACACGCACGCAAAAAAAAACATTTGTCACTGTTATTCTAGAAATAAACGTTTTAGATTATGTTCAAATGATGTAAGCGAGGAACAACCAATTATAGACTAATATTTAGGAACGCAGTCGTCGCGCACTCTATGAAATGCGTACGTGAGCACGAAACATGCTCTCGTTAAAAGAAAATGTGATAAACGCGTGCGCGCGCACGCATACACACACACACACGCACGCACACACACACACACGTGCGCGCGTTTTCTGCTTTTTCGTTACTACATAACTGCCTTCTCCATAAATGCATGTGGTCGTGGGTCACTGTCGAAATTTCGATTGCTATCGAAATGCTAACCCGATTTTGGTGGAAATTAAATGCGGAATTCGGGTCCAGTCCACCCATCTCAGGTGGACGTAAATGGCTTAGGATTGTTAGTATCGAGATGTAGTGGTACTTCATAACATCTGCCCTAAACGCTGTCAGTCTCATATGAGCCGATGATGTCAGTGCGTGTTGCATCGAACTTAGGCCATGGTACTTTTAAGCACGTACTTTGTATTTCATCGCCTGTGCATTTTGCTGAGGAGCTGTCTGCATGGGCTGCAATTAGTTGCCAGTTTTTTTTTTCAAAAAAGAATGTATTATTATTTTATTGCTGAACAATCACTCATCGATACTCGGATGTAGCATATTTTTCACGAGAGCGGGCGTTTGACAAGGTGGCGAATGATGCAAGATCAAAATTGGTGGTGCCATATTGGCGTTTCTGCAACTGCATGCTCCCTTTGGCGGTGTAGTTGTGCGACCGCACGTTAACGTGTTTAAAATAAAAGAAATGTAACTGCACCCATTTTGTAATGTAGCTGCATCGCAAAACTATCAATACAAACGCTTGAACAGGCTATCGGTGACTACGGTAGACATTAAGCGATGCTTGGATGGTACCATTAAAAAAAGGGGGGGGGGCGAAAGAAAGAAACGAAAACGATAAAGTCCGACGAAAAAGCGGCTGCCACGTGCATTGCGATACGAGACTGGAAGCAGCATTCGGCGCAGCGCAGACTTTTTTTTTTCTTTTAGGGCTAACGACAACGATATCTTTTCGGGCCCTTTCCTCCACCATCGCGCGCATGTTTATTATTGGCACGAAAAAAAAAAAAAGTCTGCGCTGCGCCAAATGCTGCCTCCAGTCTCGTATCGCAATGCACGTGGCAGCCACTTTTTCGTCGGACTTTATTGTCTTCGTTTCTTTCTTTCGCCCCCTTTTAATGTTACCATCGAAACATCGTATCATGTCCATTGTAGTCACTGATAGCCTGTTCTAACGACTTTCGTGCGTGAGAAGCCTTCAATAATTCGTTGAACTTATATTTGAGAACACTCAAAGCACCACACGTTAGGCGAAAATCACGTGGTATTTTTTTTTAATTTCGCGCACTTGAAACAAACTCTGGAAAAAAATTAACCGGCATAGTTATCTCACCGTAACTTTGAAATTTTGTTATTTTTGGATAAAAGCTAGAAGTCTTGTGTTGAAATTTTTTCCCTGGAGTCAGTATTTAAAAGTTCATTAAGCAGTACTTGTTAATTACCGTGCTTGGCGGATCAAAAAAATATTCTGACGTGCTACATACAGCTAAGAACAATACTGCACTGGCTGGAGACGTACGCGTAGTTCTCATTTTTAAATTTTTATTGCATGGTGTTTTTTTTTTAGCTGAAACACCCCGCATAGTTTAGTTTTCACGTGACGTCACATGCAAGCTCTCTACTCTGGGTACGCCACGACGGCAGCCACCTGGACTTTCAGTGTCAGCGCAGAATAGGACACCACAGGGTCGTTCAGTACCCGCGTTTTTTTTTTTTTGCTTGCCCGATTTCTTTTGTTCACCAGCCGTACCAAAGGGGAGCACACAGAAAGGCAAGGGTACACCGGCACTAATCAGATTTAACGCGAGCGACCACGAAATGCGCGGAGTTTTACGTTTTGCTGGCAAATCGTCTTGCATGGCTTCCACAGCGTTGCACATGATGTATGAAATGGAGTATAAGTGTATTGAAACTCCCGAGCAGTTTGCTATAAAGGCGTTTGACTGTGTAGTGCAGTTGTTTATTTTGCCCAACACGCAGGACCCAATCAGCAGCCTTACTGAACAGTTCGGGCGACTGAGCATCCGGGACGAAGAGGGGGAAGCTAAAGGTGCCACGGAGAAGAACAAGTAGCTCAAACGGCCACTTCCTTCTCAAGTCGCAGCTGCGGCCCTCAAAGTATGCTGATTGGCCGCCGCTTAGCAAGAGCAAGCTTGCTCGCATCGCAAAGTTTCAACTTATGAATAAAACTGGAAAACTGAGAAGAGTGTTTCGTTCAAAGTTATTCGTGATTTCGGGAAACTCTACCGCATCTGTTCTTTTCTTTCTTTTTTACGTTTATATGCATGTACATTTCAGAAGTTGGTAGTTTTCTTTCGGTAGAACGTGATTCACTGAGAGGAAAAAACACACTTTCCTGTGTAGTTTTCCTCTATTTTGTCATCGTTTGTCGCAATACGTCCACGACCAGATTTATTCTTACGAAAATATAGCAAGCTCATTTAAATCAGATTCAGTGATTGCGTAATAGAAACCTTCCCGGCTTTTTTGTGTGTATATACATGAATAGGGAATTAGAGTTAGCCATTTGCCAGAGGTGCCTCTAAAGTTCTCCAATGCTGAGCGTACAGGGTCTGTCCCTAATGGAATGAGGCTGGGTCTGGTAAATAGTATATTTTGATCCAGTCGGCGCATAATATTGAAATTATTCACCAAGAAATGCTCCGGGCTCATATCTGGGCTGATTTAGCCCTAATACAGCCATCATGTTAGTCCAGAAATACTTCTTCCTTATTTCCAAAGCTCAACAGACGCGGGAAAGGTGACCGTTCCGACAGTGTTCCTGGCATCCAACTGGTTGTCGCAGTCTTTGATATAGGTCGATGCAGCCGACTTTCATGGAGCCTTTGAGCGTAAGAATCACGTTGGAAGTGGTGTATTGACGCAGTGTGTACTTAGCGACTCAGTCTCATTTATTTACAGATGGACCCTGTATATCTGGATAGAACTTATGTGGTCCTCGTGCAGTGGGTTCTTTTTTATCTGCGTGTTGCCTTCATTCATTCATTCATTCATTCATTCATTCATTCACTCATTCATTCATTCATTCATTGCATCACACGACACACTCACTCGACAGTGGACTACAGGTGAGTGTTGACCCGGCGACATTCAAATCTTCCTTCGCAAAATAAAGAGATTCACAAGAGTGCACATAGTACAAGCGCACAAAATAATTTATCTCACGCTTGTACTATTCACTTCATCTTGTGAATGTGGCTACGTATTTTCGCTGCATATAGTTCCAAGTAGTTGAGTTTGCAAGGCCTGTGAAAAAAACAAAAAACGAAAGCAATAGCCAAAGTGGGCTTCTCCACACAGAGGCTTTTATTGCGGACAAGCACGGTTTCAAGGCGTTTGCTTCGCAATGCGATCATATTGAGACTTCAGTTTAAGTGGCCTCCGTACACGGAAGTGTGGGAGCAAGATGCGAACTTTACGACGTTATTTCTTCATAATCTATTTTCGTGAGATATGCTCTTAGTTCTCCGTTGACAGGAAACAATTATTTGTGTACGAAAGCTGAAGCTTTCGCAGACATCGTGGCTGATCATTCGAAAACTATTAAAAAATACTCGGTATTCGAATATGATCTATTCATTAGACTAGCGAATCAAATAATACGGTATTCGATTCGTTATTTAAACTTTTCGCATATTCGCGCGCCCTTAGTAAATTATATTGCACAGCGTCAAAGAAAAAAATATGAAAAAAAGGGCACCTTTGCCTTAGTCGTTCCAAGCCAGAAATAAGTGCGGAGCTGGGAAGCTTTCTTTGCTCCACTTGGGTTTTCTTTCTTTTCTTTCTTTCTTTCTTTCTTTCTTTCTTTCTTTCTTTCTTTCTTTCTTTCTTTCTTTTCTGTGTTTTTCTTTATTTCCAATAATTACTATTACTACTCCCATCGTTCCCCTTTCTTACTCTCTCTATTCCTATTTCTCGCCTGCTTCCTCCTTCAATTTTTATGCGTGGTTTGTGTTGTCCCTCCCTAGCCATGTAGCAGTAACGGCCGCACTTAATACCATCATCAAGGCGCTCGAAAAACAAAAGAAAGAAGCGTTAGCTTTGGCGCCAGCAGGAGCTCGATATGCTACAGATGGCTATTCTATTCGTGGTATGGCCTGCGTTGCGCCAAGCGACGGCGACAGCATATAACAGCGTACAACAGCCCTGCCCCCAAAACTGCTCCGCACTTGGAACGAGTCGATTATTTGGGCAGGCCCTGCATGCAGGCCGATAGTGAGATTCCCACGTTCATACTATAATGATCTGTTATATGAGATGGACGCATCTAACTGCGCTGCGAAACTGGTCCCAAGAGAGGTCAAATGAACTCTAACCACGAAACCGACGATAAGCGACCATATTCGTCTCTATCTCCATGCTTTTTACAATGAGCGCTAGTTTGCGCCCAATAAAATGCTGCGTTTCTGGAAACACGATATGAGCGGCGATCTTCAACGCCACAGCAACATGAAGGTACGGTAAAAACGCACTACGGAGCATCTCTCAGCCAGCATCTAGGCATCTAAACGCAACGCAATGGCGCGTTGGTCGCATGGAATTTCCTCTGTTAAGGCCGTTCCACGCGCTTCCCGCACAGCCGCAACGCACGTGGCGGGACCCCTACCGCACGCAAGTGGGGGACAAATAAGCCAATTGGCGACGCTCTTTCACCCTCCGCAGCTTCGCCAATTGGCTTATTTGTCCCCTGCTTGCGTGCAGTAGAGGTCCCGGCACGTGCGTTGCGGCTGTGCGGGAAGCGCGTGCACCGGCCCTTACAACGGCGACCTCCGTGCGGCACGATGGTTGTACTTGCGTGGTTGTTGTGTATGACAACGATGTGGCGCGGACAGTCGGGCTCGTCGGCGTACGAGACGAGCACGTCACGCCCGGGTTTCGGCACGCGGTGCATGCAAAACAGCTTGAAGTACATGGTCATGTCCAGCGGCAGGTGACCCATCAAATCGGGAGGGAGCGCTTGCCTGCGTACACGGAGAGCTCACATACTCCATACGTGTGCTGGCTGAATAGAGCGACGCATGCGGTCATGACCGCGACTAGGCAACCTGTCAGTACAAAGGCTGCGGGCTACTATGGTATTAAAACGCTTTCGGATGCCGCCATGCGCGGACGTGCCGTGAGCGGAAACTTCGTAACAGCGCTGTCCAGCGCAGTCATGTAGTGTGTCTGTAGTGTGTAACAAAAGTGAAAACGTAGGGATACAGGGAAGAAATATAGACCGTTGAACCCTTGTGTCATCTGCACTTCTTTTCTACCGGCAAATTTTGTCGTTTTCCTTCAAGTTTTGTGATTTCTTTTTTTTGAGATTTGTTCTTTCTCTCGAGCATTATATAATATACTCAGATCATTAAAAGGCATGTGTTGCAAGTTTTTCTTTTTTACTGTCATTGATACCAGTTCGTTTTTCATAGTAGTTAGCGATAACTTTTAGCAATGCATTACTGCGTGTTTTTTTTTTACTATATTGTAGAAAGATTATTTGCCTAGCTGATTAAAAAATATATATCCCTTATAGTAGCTAACACTGTTGCTCGAGGATGTGAACATTGTATATTTGCACATAAAACCAAACTTGACTGATTAATGAATTTTAACATGTTTGCTGCTGAACTTACTCCGCTAAGACACACATTGCAATCACCTAAGCTGACTAATTCGTCAGCCGTATCACGCTTAAAAAGGATTCCTGAGGCTGGCGCCAGGTTCGGGACACGATTTCCAAACCATGCGAGAAAAACGCATTGATGTTCCAGCCAATATCGTGCCGCATGCACTGCTTATGAGGAGGTGTTTCGTTAAATGAGGAGGTGTTTCGTGAATCACGTAATTTCCAAGAAAATACTATGACTTTTAAGATTCATTCAAGAAACTCTGCAGCTCCAGTTTTCTAAGCTGCTTCCGAGCCCCAAAGGTATGAGAAAGTGAACTGCGCCAATTTTCTCAATGAGTGAATTGCCCCGTTTAATTTGTTACGCAGGTATAATTCTCGCCCCAGGAAAGTATAGTACGATTGAGCTACCGGCTAAGTACACAGGAATATTTTTGGTTGCAATTTGCGAAAGTGAACACTTCATACATGCCGTATTTTCTCGCATTTAACCCACCCCTTGCGTATAACCAGCACCCCTAACCTTTCGAGCACATTTCTCTTTTTTTTTTCTTGTGGGGTGGGTTATATTGCGATATTGCGATATTTATGCGGCAGATAGGAAATATACTTCAGCAGATGTCTTATATGCGTACCTGTCGATTAGGTCCTTGAACTCCAGTAGGGCAGCCGTCAACTTGGCAGCGAATCTGACAATTTGGCGTAAAAACCGAACATCACTGATTAAAAAAAAAAACTACTGAAATTGAGGGAGAGTTTACTTCTACATACCGTCGTCGCTTATGTAATTACTGGTATAAAAGTATTGGGCGGTATTTCATGACGATGCACTGCATCGTAATACGTGCGATCACTACCGGCATCGTTTGAGCAAAGAACTCGCAAGAACAGTGGCACATGATTTAATCACTACAAATCATGTAAAAAGGAACTTGCTCAGTTCAACCTACTTAATAATTTGTTAGACTTGTAGATTTGCAAACAGCCCACTCGTATGCCGTAAGCAGAGTTTGTGGAGTGTAAGCCAGTAGACGTAAAGGGCTAAGGCCACACATGTGAAGATGACTTATGGAAAGCTGCAGAAAGGCTGCACATGACTCCTATAGGAAGCCGTATATTAGAGCAGAAATCTGCCATCTATGGCACCAAAATTGTGCGGTAAAGACACTTCTCAAACGCAAAGTAGCCGTGTCCGTGCACTTCAAAGCGAAAACGACGTTTCTTTATTTATTATTGGCGTTTTCATTTTTTTTTTCATTTTTATAAGGTTGTAATCACGATTATATTGTTCGCTGCGTGATCACTTGTCTTGTTTTTCGGTACGTGTCTCAGTGCCTCGTGATTACCGCTTTTCTGTTGGCATTGACTCGCCTTTCTTTTCTATCCCCCCTGCCCCACGACTTCGGATCAATATTATATTTGCATAATCATGCTTTGTCAACGGGGACGACCAATGCAGCGTTCTCTTTGTCCCAATTTTCATTGAGCAGTAGGCACTCAATTCATGACTCTCTCAACGCAATTTTTTTTCCCATTTGCAAGCCCTTCGCCAAAATCCGGTGATGTAACAACTGCCCTAAAAGAGTACAATCTGATGTCATTCTAAATGTCATTGGCATTAGGAAACGCACACGTTCAACATACTGTTTGTCGTGAAAGGTTAAAAACCATCCTCATTTACATCGTCCTTCAGCTCTTTAAGGCCTTCCCGAAAGCACTTGGCCAACTCGAACGCAATGAATTCCTTTAAGACATTCTTTCTCCACAAGCATAATATGTAGCAGGTCTCAGCACCATTATTCCGCAATTTCGCGAGAAATTTGGTACTGATTTTTGAGCTTCGTTGCTTTACCGTTGCCAGAAATACTAAAGATACCTTGCAGAAAAAGCAAACGCATGAAACACCGCCTTAAAACTGCAGGATTCTAGCTAAACAGTGATTCTGGTTAAGATTAGTGACGTTGAAGAGCAGTGAATTGAAGTGACTGGTTGTCTTATTCTCTTTCCATTCTTTCTTTTTGTTAACATAGTGAAGCGCAGGGCATGTATATGTCTTTGTCGTGTTATTGTCCTTCGTTCTGCTTCGTGCTTGCCCCCCCCCCCCCCCCCCCCACCAAATTGCTACACTTTTACCCGTTTTTTTTCTACTTTCGTTTGGGACAAACCTCGCGTGGGTGCCAAGTAGGTCTGCTTCATGGATATGTCCCGAGTCCTGCTCATGGGGCGCAGACCTTGTCCCATAGCGAAGCATGTAAGAAAAAGTGAGAATGCGCACTCACAGGAGGAAGTCCTCTTCCGAATTGAACGTCTGCCGGGGAAAGATGGCTGCCGGGCTAGAGTACACCGGCAGGGGAGTCCGCACGTCCAGGTACGCCGTATTCAGCCACCACTCGTCCAGCTGCGTAGCAGAACACGGCTCGGCTAGGGCACGTTCGCTGTTTTAGCCCACGCGTTGAGCTTCGCGGAAACGGGTGACACGCCTTTCAAGGCGTACACCCGTTTCGAAACTATGCTAGAAAATCTGTATGTTCCAAGTGTGTAGCCAGAATTTTTTTTTCTAAGGGAAGGAGGGTTAACCATAGATAAAGTGATAAGTGCCAGTTGGCCAAGTTAGTAAAGGTTGATGAATAAAATAGTAAGCACAATATGCCCGAATACTTAGAAAGAAAACAGGATGAAGCGGTTGTTAACTTATTTTTTTTTTTCCTAAAGAACCTTCTTCTATATGCATAACATGAATGCATGTATCCTTATTTTTTAAAAAAAAACTGCGTGATTGAAAGATTCAAATGATGAACGATTGCGTACATTAGGTAAGCACGTGTTAAACCACTGAATGACAAGAAAATCACCGTGTCAGGTTAGATAAAAAAAAGCGAATTAAGAAACTTATAGCAGTAAAGACGCCTGGCTTTTTATTGTGAAACCCTTTTTATTGCGATAGCTCGTACATATGCATCCCACGTGCATTCGTGTCATACATATATGAGGACGCTTTCACAGAAGAAAAAGAAGAAAAAAAGTCGGTCGGTAGTAAGTGCTTCATCCCGAGTCCTTTCTTAGTCTTTTCACCTACTGCGCTTGTCTCATCATGAATAATGCTTTCTTATATATATTCATGTGTACGTTTGTATTTGTGCGGGCATATATGCACATGCAAAACTCAAAACTATCAATGGAGGTGAATCCCCCCCCTCACAATCTACCCTTGAGTGTACATCGGTGGTATGCTTAATTCATGTATATTATAGGTACCCGAGTCTGAAGAATGGAGCGTATTTAAGGTAACTGTGTTGTTATCTTTCCAGCCAGCTACTCGGCAAAAAACTACGGTGTAGTTTGTTTATTTATTTATTTATTTATTTATTTATTTATTTATAGCTTATTTATCAGAAGTTCGCTCAAACACAGTCTGCTTTTGTTTAACAACAGAAAATTTAGGCGCACGGCTGGCCCGGTGGACAAGAAATAAGCTTGTATGATGCAGGTATACATAACACCGTGTTTAGTTTAACCACAATCTACGACGCCATTATTTGAGCGCGCTTTACGAAAGTCATACCGAATCGCACTTACCATTTATAGGACCATGTCAATGAGTAACACAACGCTGCTGAGCGTTTCGTAACATGAGGCGTTTTTTTTTTCTTTAAGAGCCATATGCACTTTAAATAAAACTGCGAAAAACGCACTTTTTTTACAGACAATTTGGTTGGGCCTGCTCAAACAACTTTTCTGTCAGTATGTTCATCTCCCCTAGTGTGGCTAAAATCTACATCACGAAATATTGACAGTATTGTGGAGTTTTTATTTGGTTCATGTAGATTGAAACATTTCGTTTGTATATGAATTTGCAACTGAAATAAGTGTCAAAGGGTTCGAATGTACGGTATAGCAATATTTCGCGATAGAATTGACATCATACTTGTGCTTCCATCGCTGCCGTGCTTTGACGCATGGTCGTAATGGCGACTACTAGACTAGAAAAACGAGTGGTCCTTCCTGGCGAAAGGGGCACTATTCTGGACTGTCATTAGTGTTTTCTTGTTCCTGGCATCGATTGAAGTCTTTCAAAAGGGTTCTAATTCGTTTTACGTCATGCCTTTTCTGACCACTTCTTGTGTAGAGAATAGATAGACACCCAATACGTTTATTTCATACCTAATTTATTTCACGTATACCGTGTTCGAGTCAATGGAGGACAAGATACTGTTTCGCTAAGGTCGAGAACAATTACTAAGATGCAAAAAGAAGTGGGGAAGTCAACCTCTTAGTCTTTACAATTCAGTTTTGTCCCTAAACATCATGTCCTTCAGTAAGTGCCAACTCGCGCTATAAAACGTAATTGTGGAACGTAAACACGACAACAAAGCAACTAAGACACAAATGAAGCATTTTGGGTCAGACCAAGTTGGTTACATTCATCATGCTTGTTGGCGCAGAGCTGACTTAATTAATACGGCTCACTTTGACTGAAACAGTTGGAGTACTTGGCTCATTTTTTATTAGAAACTGCTTGGTCGAGCTCATGTTACAATAAGGAATTGCCACATTGCGCTTATAATTGTTCTAGAAATTGAAGATACTTAGGCATGCTTTACGTTCCACTGAAAGCCCAGTTTCGGTTTCTTCATTTGGCTCTTTCAGAAAAAAAAAAGCCTCACATTTCGCTCATGTGGTAAATGTGACCGAAATGACAAATCTGTAGAAGAAAATAAATAAAGATATGCTCATTTCAAATTATTTCAAACATTTCTACCGTTAATACAAGCGGCAGCCAGGAGGCTTTTCATGATGAAGTCATATGGGGCGCGCTAAGCCTAACGTTAGTGGTTCACCGAGCTATAAGCGTGGAGGCGTGCACGTACCCAGTTGTCCAGACGCTTGTACCGGTACGTCAGCATCCTGTGCAGGTACTCACCCTCACCACCTTTCTCACCGAATCTGTCGATCACCTGGGCGGAGAGGAGGAGGATACCACGGGGCATGCAGCCCATGATGGCGTTTCACTCTCATCGATATTCATCGATTACCCTAATTAAACTTGAAAAAGTAGTTACACGGTTTTGAGACACTGCGAAAGAGACATTTCTTCCCCTTTCCTCGACATACCGTGTTAACGCTCTCTTGGATGAAATGAGCAGAAAATAAAAGAAGAGCGTGAAAAGACGCGACACGGGAGACAAGTAGATGGCACGGGCGCTCCTACCAACCTACACTTGTCCACTCGGGGCCATCTTTCCGCGCTCTACTTTTATTTTCAGACAGTGCACCGACTCGCCCAGCAACGCACTCTGAAGTAGGCTGCTGAGTAAAGTTCACAACTATGCCAGAGAAGAGTGGAGTGAAACTATAAGTCATACTTCACTCTCTGTAAAACTAACAGCTTACGAAGCGCTTATCAGGTTTAAGTTTGAGTATGCAGACCTGGTGTGGGCTCCATATCAGAAATATTTAATTAAAAAATAGAAAGGGTGCAAAACCTCACTCTGAGTTTCATTTATTCAAGCAATTCTCGTTTCGCGAGCATATCTGCCCTTCGCAGGAGGGCAAAGCTAAGTACACTCGTTCATCGTAGAATATTTTTTCGTCTAAAATTAATTTATCAGCTATACCATGGCCACTTCAAAATACCACCCGAACGTTAAAAAACCTGCCCGCCTATGGGCGTTGATCATAATCATCATAATAAGACAGGCAACCATTCAGTCACCTCGACGTATCTAGGGCAGTCCATCCCTCCGGCCTAGCCAGCACAGCATACAGACAAACAGACGGATGGACAGACGCTTCACCCCCACTCATCATCATTCACTCCGCGCATATGCTGTGATTTTTTTTTTGTTTACACCAAGGGGTTAATCACGAGGGTACTAAGATGTAAAAGGCCAGATAGTGTGATATGCAAATACTCTCAAAGTACCCACCTTTAAACGAAAATTTCCAAGTCCGTAGGGTGTCCCTAACACATGTTACTAATGACTAACGAATCCCAATGTGCACAATGTACATGATATATGTACAGAATTTACAAGACTTGGTGAAAATGTTAGCAAATATGTTCAACCGGTATCAAGATACGTGTAATTTACATAATTTACTGTGTTAGAACGGAGTGCATATGTACAAGAACCCACAAGCATACGGGTCATACCCAAACACATAGGAATATTAAACACATACAGATTACATTCTATAATCAGACACTGACAGGTGCGTTTTCACTTTTTAAACTCCGAGAGCCACTGCTTGCTATGCTAGCGAGGCGCGCCTTGGCAGTTGCAAACAAATAGTAGCGTCTCTGGGAGCGAGGGTATACCGCCAAAGGCGCCTGGGTGCGAGACAGGCGTACTCTCGTCTATAAGAAGGCGTGCAAAGCGACTACGTGAACAGCGACATATGTGACAAAGTGATTAACCCACAACAGACGCTGTTCATTGTCGAACAAGAACTAGCTTGCCTGATAACAAGTACGCGCGCCCTCTGCCCATCTTCATCGCGTTGCTGGACGCAAGCCGACGAACCGGGCGAAGCGAAAGGCGAAATGAGCGAGGACCGCGTTTTTATCACCAGACGCATTTAACTGATCTATTACGGCACCAGTATGAGCCAATTACAGAAGAGCACTAAGTTGGGCTATAGTTAGTTGAAGTTCATTCCGTAGTGGGTTAACTACCCTAATATAAACAAGGGCACAGAGAACCTTTTTTTTTTTCTTCCATCCAGCCCACGCTGTCTTTTTACGCTGGCTGTATGTATACGTCACTTTCCACTCAATAGAATTTTAGTTGTGAGTCAACGCCCGTGCTCTCTTCCGCTCTCTCTATGTCCTTGTTTGTACTAGCGCATGTTGAACCATTGCGGTATCAGCCAACTAGCCGATTCCAAGATTATTACTCCAACAACGTCGCCTTGAATGGCACGGCATGCGCGCGTCAGGGCGCTTAGCTTCGGTTTCGTGTGCTCTGTCGGTGTCGCACGCCAGTTACGCGATAACAGCTCTTTTGTTTTTGTCTGAATTCAGACGCTGAGAGTGACATGGTTTTTAACAAAGGGCCGATTTTTATTTTTCCGATTAAAGTAAGCAGGCCAAGCTTACTGTATATTAAAAGTTAGTTCACAGGCTTTAATAAATTTAGAATTATCATGCATTTATCACCCTCCTCCCACATGATCGTCATTCCTGGCCGCATCTCTCCAGCGCAGCCACCGTTGTAAATAAGTGTTGATAATAATAATAATAATAATAATAATAATAATAATAATAATAATAATAATAATAATAATAATAATAATAATAATAATAATAATAATAATAATAATAATAATAATAATAATAAATTCCGGGTTATTACGAGCCGAAACCATGGATGGCATGCTTGCGAGGCACGCCGTACCAGGGTTTTTTCTACTTTCACGCCAAATCTAGGCACACGGGCTTCTAGCATATTCACCTCCATCGAAAATGCGACCACCGCGGCTAGGATCGAACGAGTGAATTTCGGGTAAGCAGCCGAACGTCGCCCATCTACACAAAAATAACTATTTTCGGAATATTATTTAAGAGGACGACATTAACGACAAAGGATTTGTCTCAAATTAGTACTGATCACTCTTTCGATGTTCCAAAATCAGCACGCTCGCCGCGAGAAGACGCTTTGGAAAGCTAGAAAACACGCAAGAACAAAAAAAAGCGACTGGCGACGCCACCTTGAACTTCTCGCACAAACGCTAGCGGCAAGCCTACCGTAACGGCGTAGTGCCGTATACTGGCGGCCGGCGGCGCCCGCGACAAACAACCTACAATCGGTTGAGGGCAGGGAAGCTAGCAGCAAGGTAAAATTTGAGAAGCGATTGAGAGAAATGGGGCAGGAGCGTTGGGCAAGGAAGGTTTTCAGCTACTTGTACATGAAGAATGTCGATACAAAATGGAGGAAGCGAACCAGGAAATTAACTGGTAAATACTTAGCAAACAGCAGGTGGCCACACCAAAAAAAACAAAAAAACTATCGATTAAGAAGAAAGAGAAGGAAACGGAGACTGACATGTGGAAAATCGGCATGATCAAGAAGTCTGCACTAGAGATCTATCGAACTTTTAAGCAGGAAATTGCCAAGAAAAGGATCTATGATAATACTCGGGGTAGTTCTCTACTATTTGAGACCAGGACGGGAGCATTGCGAACCAAGACATATCGGGCCAAATACGAAGGGGTAGACATGGTATGCAGTGCATGTGGAGAGGAGGAGGAAACCACCGAACGCTTGATAATGTTCTGTAAAGGGCTTCACCCTATAGTTCAGGATGATAGCGCAGAGTTTTTCAAAGCACTGGCGTTTAGAGACAGGGAGGGCAAAATAGACTTTAAGCGGGTAGAAGTACCTAGAAGAAGGTTATCTGATTGGTGGCTAAAGTCAAGGTACGAGTGAAAATTAGACCCTTCACTGCAAAGTACCAGTCCTCAACTGCACTATTTAAAGGGAAAAAAAAGAGATAAAAACTAATTAGTTCACTAAGGAAAACGGCTAGATGGCGTTAGCTGCCACCCAATCTAAAGGGTACAGCCACATCCATCCATCCATTCATCCACTGCCCTTCCGAATGCAGTTGTCATCCACCTCGAATCTATCAAGTGGCAAGGTTCCTTTTGGCGTTGCATAAGTCAGTTGCCAGACTTTAGGGTGGTTGTTGACAAACTGCCACTAAATTTGGCTGAAAATTTTTCTTCTGTATTTGTGGCTTCTCCGTAAGAGTTTGGTGCCATCCGCGGTGCATTTCGCGAGTGCATGAGCGACGCTGGCCGTTTTAATTAACGGAATGAACCGCGCATTACAGAATTCGTTTTAATTAACGGAATGAACCAAGCCTAACAGAGGTCATTCCGTTAATTGAAACGGCCTCCTAATTGTTCGGCAGCGCCGCGCTCGACTTCTGCTAGGCGCGGTTCATTCCGTTAATTAAATTGGCCTCTTAATTGCGCAGCAGCGCCACGCTCGACTACTGCTAGGCGCGGTTCATTCCGTTAATTAAAACGGCCAGCGTCGCTCGTTCACGAAATGCACCGCGGATGGCACCGAATTCTGAGGAAGAAGCCACAACTACAGAAAAAAAAATTTGCAGTCAAAGTTAGCAGCAGTCTGGCAACACTGACTCTCCCAGCGCCACGCTTGACTTCTGCTAGGCTTGGTTCATTCCGTTAATTAAAACGAATTCCGTAATGCGCAGTTCATTCCGTTAATTAAAACGGAATTAAAATTTAATTGCACGGCAGCACCACGCTCGACTTCTGCTAGGCTCGGTTCATTCCGTTAATTAAAACGGCCAGCGTCGCTCATGCACTCGCGAAATGCACCGAGGATGGCACCAAACTCTTACGGAGAAGCCACAAACACAGGAGAAAATTTTTTAGCCAAATTTAGTGGCAGTTTGTCAACAACCACCCCAAAGTCTGGCAACTGACTTATGCAACGCCAAAAGGAACCTTGCCCTATCAAGCGGCCGCCGTGCGCTCTGTAGCTCGTAAGCTCCGAACTGATACTTCCATTTGCTTTAGACTCATGTCCTTTAGCTTCGACAACACTTTACTCGAATCGATTTGGCACCGTTTTTGATAACCATACTCAAATAATTGATGTTCTAGGCCTAAGCAAACCTTCTCAAATCTCGGAGGGCATACAATACACGTTGGTTTGTTGTTGCTAATGCTAGATAGCTGGCGTCACTTGGCCAACCGCCTGCTTTGCGGACGTCATTTTGCATTTCTGTGCGCATTTTTAAATACCGGACAGGCTACAACACTATATTCAGTGCTGGAACGTAGGCTGGGAACAACACGTACGACATAGCGGGAGAGAGAGAGAGAGAGAGAAACAACTTAATTTATCCCAACTTAAGGGAAAGGGGCTGCGAGAAAACAAGGGATCCTACTCGCGGTAGGCCTCTTCTACCACATCAGCCCACCTCAGGATAGCCTCCTGAAGGTTGGGGTTGTAGCTGTGCATGGCAGCCTCCGTGAAAACCGCGGAGCAAGAAGCAAGCAGCTCGAAGTGTCCCGCGGCAGACGCAGACGATGCGGAGACGCGAAAGCAGACGATGCGGCTGAGCCATGCCGCTCCTTCGTCGCTGATCGGCTACGTCACTCTGCGGCAAACTGCAAGCGGCGCGAAAATGGGTCTCGGACCCATTTTTTGAACGGCGAAGAACGGCAGACGTCCGCGAAGGAAACAGCCGCGCACGGCTGCCTGAGAACGTCAAACGCGAAGCATGTTTGCCGCTAGCGTGAACCGGCCCTACTAGGCTCTACGTAGCCCCTAGTCGGCAGAAATGAAGGGCATTTTACTCTTAGGAGAACATGTATTCTTAAAATTCAAGTTTTATAATATTTCGTCAAGCCAATGTCATCCAAATACCAAATATACAATTCGGAGTCTCTAACGTCCGGCGTGGAGGTTTCAGCGCGAGATTTAAAAGTAGAACTTTGACACTGACTTTCTTTTCTGGTAACTCCTCCATTGTCATAATGAAATTACGGACGTTAGGGTTCTGAACCAATTCATTGTTTCACATAGAGTCCCTAATGTCTTCGCAGAAACACGGCCACTTTGCAGATTTTCCAGGCTTATATTTTTATAAGTTTTCCTCGGCCCTCAATACGTGGGTTCGCACGCCTCATGCGTGATACGTGCCGCGCCCTTTTACCTTGTTACCTTGTTACCTTGATTCGGGGGGGGGGGGGGGGGGGGGCTCTAGGGCCCTCCTTTCCTTTCCTCTGACTTGCATCACAGATACCATAATATTTCGATTCTGTGCATATGTAGCCAGGCTTCGCAGTGTGCGCATCTTTTGCCTCCTGCAAGCCTTTTGCGGCTGGCTTATTCCAGCAGCGTAGGCAGCTCGAGACGTTCAGAAGGGGACTTTTTCGAGTGCGCGTAGATCGGAGCGCGCGAACGCCCACCTTTCGGGAGGCCTGGAGTTCCTCCACGCTCAGTATGGGCATCAGCGAGAGCCACAGGCGCTCCAGCGTATCCGCAAGTGGCGGCACGGGCAGCTTGGGTAGCTCCTTCTGGCGCGACAGCATGACTCCTTTGACGACCAGAGGTGCCATGTCAGGCAGTCGCCGAACCACCGGCGGCGTGCTGCTGCTGCCCGCCATCGTGCCTAACGGGTTGCCGTCACTGGATACTCCAAGGAGTGAGCCGCTACTGCAAATGCTTCGGTGTCTGGTGCTGGTATCAAGCGCCCACGCGCAGGCTGCCGTTGCCCATCGGTTGCGCCGCCGGCTGCTTACGCTGCTGGTAATGATGATAATGCCGCACGTAGCCGAAATAGTATGGTGGCAGGCACGCGCACGAAACGAAATGTATTACACCGTAAAGAAAAAAAAACGCGTATGCAAACGGTTTCCCTTTCTCAAAGACAGGTATGTCGGATAAGTCAGGCTACGAAAAATAGTGGTAGTGCGTAATTTCGCTATCCGGCGAACGAGATAGCACAATTCATCAACGGCACGACACATCATCTTCCGAATAAGGAAGTAAAATAAAAACGCCACCGTTGTCATGAACAGTCCATCAATTACCGAGACGGTATAATAATTACATAGTATGTCAGTCATTCGAAAAGGTGCTCCAGCTTCACCGAATTTCGCTGGTGTATCATGCCAGCTGCTGACACTACACGTGCAGCCCCTATTCTGCTGGAACATGTATTGCCGGCATGACACGCTCACCATTAATGTGCCGGCACGTAAGTCGCATGTTCATGAACAGACAATTGGGAAAAACTGCCGGCAACTTTTCCGGAATAATATGCCGGCTGCCAGCTCTATAAGCGTGGCCAATAGATAATTTCCCTCAGCAAAGGAAGACGACGAAGAAAGCAGTGTTGGGGCTCGAGCAGGTGACGTAGCATTCGACACGCGATCCTTGGCCGATTTCGACGTGGATGTGGACCCCGTACCCTCGGGCTGACGCAGCAGCATTAGTGTGCCCTTCCAGACGCCCCAGTCGTCATTGCGTCCAAGGAGATGGAGAACGAAGCAAAGAAGCTCGAGGATTTCTATGTGAGTGGTACCAACAGATAGTAAATTCGAAATGCGAACAATTTTTAGGGAGGGGCTTCGGAAATCCCGCTTCGCCGCGCCGCCTTCGGTGTTTTCTGCAGCGCGGTAGGGAGCACGGCGCAGGCCACCCTTCTCTCTTTTTTCCCTCCTCCGGCCTGTCCGAAGCCGAAGCCGCCTGGAGATCTTGGAGTGGCGACCTCTTACATGTGACGTCAGTTTGGGGACTCCACTCTCAAGTTCTCCACCGCGCTGCAGCAGCCGCTGCTCCTGTGCGCGGATCGTCTGCTTCGGGCGGTAACTTTGTCGAACGAATGACCTCTTGAGGGTCAACTAACGCCCACAACGCATGTTTTCGAGCGCAATTAAGAATTTGTTTTAGTTGAAGCCCAATCGACAGGGCCGAAAAGCATCCCAGATGGCCGATAAGCACGGCGATGCCGCCGACCGCATTGCTGGTAAGAAAATGAAACTATGTGTGAGTGTTCTCGCTCGTGATCGGCAGTTTCCGCCGTGCGATACTGATTAGTTCGGGTGTTTCCGAATGAGCATGCATTTCTCCAGCATCTACAGGCATATAGATACAGCAAGCGAGACGTCGCGGTGTCTCATCAACGGCGCGGTGGTGTACGACGCAGGCCACGTTGTTGAATGTGCGCAGCCGACGCCGCTCTGGTCCTGAAAACACGTGGACTTGCGAACCCGCCACACAACGTCTCTGTGGCGATCGAGTGCAGCGCAATGGTGAAGTACTGCTTTTCGACTCGGCGTCCTTCGTCCGCCCGTGAAAAGGACGTTCCCTTTCCCAACAAGTCTAAAGAGAAGGGAACGCCTACCCGTTTCCTTTGGATATTTTTTCTGCAGTGCAACGACAGTGACAGTGAACGCGAGGATATGCGTGGGAATCGCTGGTTTCTGCCACTCTGGCATTCGCTAACAACACGTGAAGTAATTGCTGCAGAGCAGCTGTTTAAATTGCTGCTTCGGCAGTCAATCGACCGTTCATGACATCTACTAGAAATGCAAAGCAGCATCAAATTACCAAATTTGAGACAATCGTGCTTGAATTCCAGTTATAGGCCCCGCCGTGGTGGTCTAGTGACTAAGGTACTCGGCTGCTGACCCGCAGGTCACGGGATCAAATCCCGGCTGCGGTGGCTGCATTTCCGATGGAGGCGGAAATGTTGTAGGCCCGTGTGCTCAAATTTGGGTGCACGTTAAAGAACCCCAGGTGGTCGAAATTTCCGGAGCCCTCCACTACGGCGTCTCTCATAATCATATCGTGGTTTTGGGACGTTAAACCCCACAAATCAATCAATCAATCAATCAATCAATTGATTGCAGTTATGGGCATTGGCATGGCGCAAGTACGTGTTGTGTTACAGTAAGAAAAGTCTTGAGGGGTAGATGCTGGTGTGACTTGGGAAGGGGGCAAGTTCCACCTTAATGCACCCCCTGGCCGATGCAATTGAATGACTGCAGTTTGTCTCAGTAATGTTTGTTCATTGAGAGCAACATCATGAAGTATTTCATAATAATATCACACAGGGCCGTCGCTGGGGTTCAGAATACAACAAATAGCTATCGGTGGTTGTATATACCGCGCACAGGGCCACAGTGATTCTGTGACCTTTAGTGAATGTGCAATAAACAGCGACTGTTGGTTTCGCTTATTAATTTCTGGTAGGCAGTGCACTAGGCGCGCGCTTTTTATTGATCAGTGAACTACGTATTTATGTAGGTACACCAACCAAATAAAGCTGTAGTCTCAGATGTCCTGCGCCGCTCAGCTGCTCTCCCAAGGCGCGCTTACCCGAGGCGATTCGGAGGTGTCGGCTCCCTGTCTCTTCGGGACATACCTAGGCGCCACCTACGTGATGACGTCACTCGTAGGATGCCGGGTTGTGTTGTTGTCTGCTAGAACACCACATTTGCTGCGGACACAGAACGTGCTTCCTTTTGTTTTGAAGCTCAGTGCATAAAGAAAGGGGTAAGACCTAATAATATGGGCAAGCAAACTACAAATTAAGGCCCCGGTGGCACTCTCTTGTCTATTTGCATCGTGAAATAGTGACTAAAAAATGGTGCAGCCATGGGAGACGATGCAAGTGCAGCCATGGGGGATGATGCAAGCAAGGCGAGCGTACGCATCCTACCTGTGAAGTCAAAACAATCGCAGCGCTGACCTCTCTAGTGGAGGTCCTCGCGACCAATAGTCGGTTCTCTGTTTTTGAAAAACTGTTCTCTGTTCTTAAAAAAATATTAGTCAAGGCTAGCAAGTTATCCATTGTAACATGTGTGTGTGGCTGCGAACCACCGGTGACCAGGACTACAAAGCCCGTAATGGTGAACAAAGCGGTCACTGCACGCAAGCATTTCAGCTGACTGAAAAAAGTAATTAACTTTATTCATTACTCGTATTTCTTACATGTATGGTGTTATTACTCGCATGTCCGTGTGATTCAGGTTGTTTAAGTTTTTTTTTTTTCATTTCATGCTATGCGTTTTTGAGCACGCACAGCTACCAAATTAGCGTACTCTAATTCTAGCACCAGAACATCACCGCGTTGATGCCGTTGCAAAGATCAGCTTTCGGGCTCCGTTGATGCCCCAGGCACTAACACAACTCTTAACAATGGGCGACCTCCATTCCACACCTCATTGGTAATGTTGAGCATACCTCAAGTGCCCTGAATGCAAATAGAGCGCAAAAACTGCCCCGCGTAGCAGACGCCCCTCACTTTCCGCGCTCGGAAAGTCCACGGGTCCGGCGCAGCAGCGGCGCGGAAGTTCACCTCAAAAGGTCCACGTGGGAGCCCGCGCTTTGGACACTCCTCATATTCTAGGTCACTCTAATCAGGTAACCCGGACGTGACGTGAAACGCGCGCAGACAAACTTCACGCGTTTTTCATTCACTACGGACGCCATGAACCCTGCTCCACGCTCCGAACGTGCTTCGGAGTTGAATTCTGAGCTTCACAGTGGCGATGCCTGGCTACTGCACGTTTCAGCGCAGCGCAGCATGTCAGAGAAATAAACATTGCCAAGACACGTTGGTGGGCTAGTTGGTTTGAATCCATTAAGAGTGAGTAAGCGCACAACAGACAAGGACGTAGAAGAGACAGACACATACAGAGCGCTGTATGTGTCTGTCTCTTCTACGTCCTTGTCTGTTGTGCGCTTACTCACTCTTAATGTCAGAGAAAGGAGTCAAATTATTTCATATTTCCGTGGCGAAAAAACGTGCCGTGCGCGGGAAGCAGTGGATTCAAAACATCGGGAGAAAAAACTTCGATCATTCCAAGCACGTCCTTCTTTGCGAGGTCATTGTTGGCAATTTCCTTATATATATCTGATGAAGTTGTATGGAGATTATAATGCTCATTGCGTAACCGGACTGTTCATTGAGTACAATAACGAGCACATATAAATGCGGATATAGCATTGTCTGTGTGAGTCACTATGCTATGCTGTTCTCTTTGTGCCCTGACAAAGCTTTGTTTTGTTGCGTGCGTTAAGTTTCAAAGTATGCATATACCAGCTATTAAAAAAAAGGGCTGATGCAAATATGATGTCTGGTCATCTTGTCCTCGGAGCTAACAGTATTTGTAAGCTAGCCTGTGTAATTCCCGATAGTGTGCGCTTGCTCATATATGTGCGTGCACGTGTGCGCCTGCGTTTGCTTGCGATTCTGTATGTCAGTATTTGCTCCGGTATGTGTGCGTGCGCGAGCGTATATATGTGTGTGTTTATACGAGTACGTGCGCTTGGCATGCGTGTATTTACGCCCATGTGTGCGTGGCCGCACACATGTCCGCGTATGTGTATACCTGAAGTGTGACAGCTTGGGCTAGTTGGTATGGCATGACGATAGTTATAGCGTGAGAACAAAACGACGACACAGAGACAAGAAGGACACGAAAGACACGAGTGCTAACTTCCAACTGAGTTTATTGCGCAGAGCACGAAAATATATAGAGGAGACAGTAACCATGTGATAAAAACCATATGGCACAAAGAGCAGAACATGAGTAAGAGAAAAACAAAGACAAAAACAAAAGCACCGAAAAACGGCAAAGAAAAATTTATAAGA